AATAAGACAGTATTAGATGCCACCTCCAAATACATCCACACAGAATAAAATCCTTATACTACTGCAGAATGCCTTCCTTTTCTTAACCTACAAGCCAAGAATCCCATTGTTTCTTTTGGACAGATCATTGGCCATGCTTGTAATCTTTACCTATCACTCTAACTAAGTTTTAGTCCTCAATTGTAAGAAAGAAAAAAAGGCATATTTTATCTCCATTTTAACATTGTTTAATTTCACTCATATTTTTATTTTACGCTTTGATATTTTTAGTACTTTAGTATTATTATTTTCATTTTATATTTTATTTTCAACCAAATAAAAATCCGGTTTTTTCGCTTTTTAACAATTTTTATGCATATTGGGAAAAAATCTTTAAATAATAAAAGCCAATAAAATTAATTTTTTGAAAATATTAACGTATTAAATATTAAAATTAAAATAAAGGCTGAAATACAGTTTGGAGAAGAAAATGTCATTAACATATCAAATATTTACTTTATTTCAATTGCGATGACTTAATGGGGACGGTAGGAATCTCGACCCATTAAAATATTCTATAAAATACGTATATTATATTGACATATTAATATTTTAAATATCAAATTTATAAAATAATGTTACAACCGCATTGAAACCTTGATTAGTCACCCCTCTGCTTTATTTAAAATATTGAATGAGGTTAACCAGCAGTAAATTCTGGTGATAAAGCTCTATTTTTAACAAGTTTTGAGTTTACTCATCGATCGAAGTTAAAAATTAAAGGATAGCTTAATCTTAAAAACCAAATTTTGACTGTTAGGTTTCAGCCTATTTAATAACACTACAAACAAGAAATAGTCAAATTTTAATAAAATCTTTAAATGTTTTCATAGGAACTTGAAAAATTTTCAAATAGGTTGATTTTAAGTTGCTAGGACTAACCAGTCCACCTCGAAAGAAATAATCAATTCGAATATTTTCTTTATCAGGGCATTAGCCGAATGACTGATATTTAATAGAATTAAATCATTAGGATTATGATAAGTAATTAAACATTATATTGATTATTTTCGAAAATAATATGAGTAATTTTGAATATTTTATAAAATAACGCGTGTATTTGTTATAAACAAAAATGATTGACTAGATATTTATCATATATATGAATTTAATTTTTAATTCAAATAACTATGTTGGAATCAAATTACGAATAATTCATTTTTAGGTCTATTTAAAAAAAAAATTATGCATAAAAAAGGGACTTTTTTTAGAAAGTTGACCAAAAATTTATTATTAAAATTGTAATCTATAATAAAATTACTTTTCTGCACTTCTATGCATTTCTCTGCTCTGCGTAACCTGCTACTCAATTCTACTGTGCTTCTATCTGCTCTTCTCTTCTCAACTCAATATCTCTCTGACTTTCTTGTTAGGTTTTGCTCTATCTTGTTTTGTTATTTTCCGCATTGTCATTCTATCTTTTTTTTTCTGCTCTACCCTGTTCGATTATTTTTATCGATTCTATTCTGTTCTCTACTTTATTCTGTTCTGCTCTGTTATGTTATGTTGTGCTTATTCTTTTCTCTGCTATGAGGGGTTTGTTCTGACCCACTCTGCTTCACAAAGCTCTATTCTGAACTGTCCTCTGTTCTGTAGTGCTCTTCTTTGCTCCATTCTACAGTTATGTTGTATTAGGTTCTCTACTGTTTTGCTTGATTTGCTTAGCTCCTCTAATCTGTTCTGACCTGATATTTATCTCTTCTACTTTTCTTTGTTGTTTGTTTCTGCTTTCCTTTCCTCTGCTCTACTTTGTTCTGTTCCGTTCGGATTTTTTATGGCTTGCTCTGCACCGTTTGGTTTAATGAAAGAGTTGTAGTTTAACTAAATACATTTAATGGAATAGACTTTTAAACTAATATTTTCTTTTGTATAATGAAGAGAGGAGATTAATTATGAATGTAATTTAGGCAAAACAAAAAGATAAATTAATATATATACATGATATTATATTTATAAATCAATGGAATGTATATCTGAGATTGAATCTGGAAATATGAACTATGATAGTCTAATATAATTAAAGATTAAATTAGATATAGGCATGGTATCTGATGCTATGACAAGTAAGATTGTTGGTATTGATTTAGTTAAAAATTAAATCAGATATAGGCACAAGTATGATTGTTCGTAGCAATTGTAAAAATAAATAAAATATCTATCACCACAATGCTATATCATAACTCAGAAAATTTACCAACACAACTCTAAATAAAGAAATAATTAAAGTAATTAGAAAAAAACACTTTTTATAATTATAAAATTTTATCTCTTTTATTTTTTTTGGGACAAAAGAATACACAATCTACACGTGATATATATAATCAGGAGACTATTTATAAATATGATAAATATTAAACAAAATTTTTTTATGATATAAGCAAAATTAGTTGATAATAATATAATAGCAAAAATTCATTTAAAGATATTGGATAATAAAGGAGTTGTAGTTAAACAAAGTACAATTAATGAAATACAATTTTATACTAATCCTATTTAGATTTTTTGGATAATGAAGAGAGATTAATTAAAAATGATAGAGATATAAAGAAATGGTTACAGATATTAAATTAGCTGCATCACCTTTTGTCAATATGAGTTGCTTAGAATTATATTGCTTATTGAGGTTTTGCAACTATCAGTTGAGACAGTGAAATAATAAATAAATATCTTTTATCATTCTTGTAATTCTTTGCAAAATTTTTTTATATTCGAAATCACAAATATTTAGTGCTCTTTGATATATAAATGATAATATATATATTCTGCAATAGCAAATATTTAATACTGCAATAAATAGATTAATATGTAGTATTAAAAAAAATATTAACTTTGGCCAAATGTCAGGTATGGTTTTATTTTTATTATTTATATGCTAGTATTAGTATAATTTCATTAGTGTTGTTAAAAAGCCCGATTTAAATCGATTTTTAAAAACGATTTGATTAAGATTTTAGCCAAAATAATATTATGTAAGCCTCAAGATTTATCAAATAGATGTCCAAACCTTTATGACAGCTATGAGCAAAATATCCAGGCTTGCATAATACTATTTTGGTTATAACCTTAATCGGAATATTTTTAAAAAGCGACCCGAATCAGGCTTTTTAACAACACTAGTTTGCATAATAATGACAAAAAAAGAAATTTTGAATTCTAATTCAGGATTTGCAAATTTAAATATCAAAAAGTAAAATATATTAAAAGAAAACCTGGCCGAAGATTGGGGAAAGGCGGACCAAAGCCAGCATTATACATAGGTGACGAAGCCCACATAAATTTTTTTTAGTTAACCACCCTGGTATTGTAAAGGCTAGAGACGCCGCAGAGCTAAATAAACCCGTGGATATACTATATAAATTTGTGTGTTTGGAGGAGGCCGGTTTAAGGGAATTTTTTTTATTAGCTAAAAAATGATATTACCAGGAACAAGCAAGGGTGGGTACGTAAGTGTGAATTTTCTTTTAAATGATTGTTTTAGTTATACATAATTAAATTTTAACTGGTGAGAAGGTAGGAGGGGCGTATGATGGAACTTAAAATGATATTTAAGAGAACAAGCAAATTTTCGAGGAGGGGGGGGGGGTATGACAATGAATTCTTTTAGTTAGAGTTCAGAAAGGAAATCCTTTCATAGCAAAGAAGTAACCCACGTCTGAAGGTATAAAAAATCATCTGCACGCACAGCAATAGCCACTTAAATTGATGAATAAATATATTTGCTCATATTCCATACTTAAATGTGGAATCAATTGGCATCTGGTGATATTTCTATTTTCGCCCAATATTTATGAGCTAAATAATTGCCCTTATCTAAATAAAGACATTAGATAAATCATTATTGTACCGGTTTTTTGAAGGCGAACTGCTAAAATCAATAAGGCACAATTTATTGGTGTTTATTTATCTTGCTCCGACGCAGATTGATATAAAATATGGTTGAGGGAGAGGCAGCCGTTCATGACTCGAATATATCTCTAAATAATACATAGATTATCTATCATCTCAAAATGTGCACTAAATAACATACTATTGAAACATTGGTTCATATTACATCTATGGAAATTAGATAATTGTAATATATATATGTAATAAATAGCTTTTGGTTTTATATTATAATTATTTTTAAGATCCACCGCTAACTTCAAATTCAACTGAGAACTTAAAATATGCGAGTAAAAATTAAAAGAAATAATAAAAAATAATATTCAATTTCGCCATAATGACTTCTCATACATACCTTCAAGTCACACTATACCTACTTCCATTAGGGGAACGAAATTCCATTCCTATTCGCAATATCGATTAGCGGATTCATCTTAACTAGACTCACTACGCATTCCTCTTCCTGACCATTTTATGGCGCAGCACATATAAATCACACTCTTCATCTCAATTCAACTAAACGGAAAGATTGAGACGTTACGTTACCCCCCCTCATCCCCCCCCCCCCCACAAAATTTACTGATTACATCACACTATTAGTAATGTTAAAAAATCTCGCATTAAATCTGAGACTATAATTATAAAACGTCTTAATATTTATAATTAAATACTCTAAGTAAGTCGGGCCACATCTAGTTGACAGTTTTAACATTAAAATTATAAATATTATATATTCAATTAGATGTAACCAAATTATATATATTTAATCTAATAATATTAACGAGATTCAATGATTATTTTGTAAGCTTACTTAGATTAAGAATATTAAAGAACCATTATATTTGTATTTTTAATATAAAATCAAAAAGATCTAATTATATGTTTAGATAGTGCAACAAAAAAAAATCTATTTTTTTAAGACAGAAACAAGCTTTTACGATTCTATGCATATACATAGATTGCTATTCATTGATAAAGATTTATTATTATAATAAAATTTTTCTAAAGTTTTCATTTACTTTTATAGTCTGCTTTAAATGATAAACCAAAAGATTTATATCATACTTGGTAAGATAATCAACTTCTTATAAAATCTAAACATGCCCATGATCATAAAATTCCATGAATAATGATTCTTTTAACAATTCTATATGATGGATGAAGAAAATTATGTTCCTCATTTAAATTTTTCTGGTTTATATAATAATCTAAATGAACGTAAGTTTTAAATTTAATTTTATTAACATTATATTTCTAAATAATATTAAACATTATATCTAATATTTAAATTAGTCTTACCAGAATTACCCCTACCAGGAAATTACAAATTTGCATCAATAAATGGCTTGATAGCTTCAGAGGATAATATTTATTCATCCTCAAAAGAATCATTAAAACAAAAAATTGATATATTATTAAATAACAATGATAATATTAATAATGTACAAGATAGGCATATTCGTAATCGTTTACTAGGACAATCAGTTGTTTCTGCTTTAAGATCAACTTCATTAGATGAATTGTAATAATAGTTCAATTTATCTTTATTTTATATTTTAACTAATAGTAACCCATTAATATCAAGACTATATCCCCAAAATTATTTGTTAAATACAAGATTCATACAATTAGATGATAAACCTTCATCTCTTTTAAAAGAAATATTGTTTATAGATCCTGGATGTTTTAATGATGTCCCATTAAGTAATATATCCATTTTTATATATTAAATGATTTTTTTTCTTAGGTGAAAAACATGTAACTGCATTAAAAGAAAAATCAAGGTGAAATATTAAATTATTAAAACATTTAATATATTTTATTTATTTATACATGATGAAGATTAATATACCTTTTTTTAAAATATTGCTAAATAATTTAAAATATTTTTAAATTATAGTGCTAGCAATGTTAATATATTTGACACCTTTTCTCCACATGATTCAACATATAGTAGTAAGTTCCATAATTTATAAATTTTTTATAACTATATAAATACACATACTAGAACACTGCTATTATTAAAATATAAACTTAATAAAATAAATATCAAATATGATAATTTGAATTTCTCTATAATGAGGACAAAGCAATTAGTGATTTATGTTTAATTTAACTTCATGAAATGACATTTAAAAATTTTAGGTTGTGTTCAGGTATTAAATTAATATAAATATTCTGGACTAGGCTTGCCCCATAAAAATAAAAAAATTTGAGGCTGAATTTTGGTCTAAAAAATTCAAATTTGATTAAACAATCATATTTTGTTTATTATAAAAGACGATAGCATTTACAATAGCTGTAACAGACAAAATGATGCCTATATAGAAAATTTAAGTGAGAGAGTCAAGAAACGAAGGAGAAGGCCCACATATTCTGATAACAATTATTCTGCTGCTAGTAACCATGCTAGTAACCAGGAATATCAGTCAGCCCAAGAGGATGAAAATAATGTAGAAAACCATTTAGACCTTTTGATAGCTAAAAAGGTATGTTACATATAGTTTTTTAAAAAAATTAAATTATATTTCTTATATAAAAATTGTGATTAATTTTATAACAGTAGTAGGACATTATTATTTTTTTTAAGTCTGATATTTTATTTTTTTTAATTTTTAAAAATTGAACATCATAATAAATGTAATAAATAACAGTTTATGTAGATCAAAATAGTTTTTTTATCTTTAAAAAAGAAATTAATTTTAAGATGGAGGTAAAATTAGATTAATCAAATTATGCTTCTCTAATATTTGAAAAGCTTATATAGCACAAATAGATTTATAATATAAATTTGAAATTATTGTTATATGCCATTTCCACACTCTACAGAAAAACTGTAAGAACATTATTTCTGTTTTGTCGAAAAAAAAAGATTTTTTAACTTGATTTTAAATAAAAGGCTAGAATCCTCAGCCTAACTCATGCCTCTGATTATTAAAAACTGGGAAACCCCTTTAATGGAAAGATCGAATCCTGCTTCACCTCAGGTCTTTATAAATTATAAGCCAAAAAAAAAACCTTTGCTTGATTTAACTTAAAAACTGGGTATAGGAATTTTATTTACTTTTTTTTAATTTAAAATAATAAAACAGATTTTTTTTTTCATTTTTAAATGTGATAATCTATATCATTTATTGCATCGGTTTTGGGTGAATATCAGATTGATAAAATATTCAAATTTGCGGATCAGGGCACAGCCATAATTAATAATATTTTTTGTTGAAATAAATTTTATATTTGATATGGAGTCTTTATCGATAAAATCAAACTTCTACAAGTATATATTTGATCATTTTAACCAAACACAAGATATGGATTAAGACCTGATGTGACCTAAGATCACTCAATATTAGATTATTTAGGGTTAAATTAATTTTTACTAATACATTTTCCCTGTGACAGATTATTGTGGGCCCCACCCCCTTCTCAAAATCAAATCTATATACCTAGTTAATATGAGAATAGATAACTCTGTGTAACTTTTAATATCAAGTTCAGGATTTCTATGTTGTTCATAATCCATTCACTGCACTTTCTTTTGTTCGGAAAATGTTTCCTGCAACCGACTTGATATTATATATTACAAATAATGGCAATAAATAATATTTATTATGCCAATCTCTTCTTAAGATAATGATAAAATAAGATAATTCCAGTTTAATTTACTTCATTCCTTTTTATCCCATACAAGTGTAGTTGGGTAATTACTATATTTTTAGTCATTTAAGCCAATTCTTAACTATCACTTTGGCTTTGGGATTTTTCTTTTAAAATATAGCAGCTCAAATTTGAAAGAAAGTAATATAAACGAAAACGCATGTTAATATATTTTCTTCTGCACCCACCTGTAGGTTGAGCCGAATAAGCCTACATTTAGACATTAATCAACTAAACTTATAAAGCCCAAATTATAATAGGGTCATTCTAAGTCAAATTGATGAAAAAAACTAGCATCCTTGGTCTTATTATTTCAATTTCTATAAAAATGAGTATGAAGATGAAATGGGTTATAGTTGGTTTAGAAACTAGAACTCAGTGGAGATAGATACAGGGTTAAAAGTTAAAAAAAAATTATTTTTAGGTCATTGCACATGAGATCAGAGAATTTTCATGCATCTTTCAAATTGTACTTAACGATAGTTAGGTATGTTTTAAACATTATTACTATCAAAATTTTATTGCTCCAGCTCTGTAGATTCATGAGATATGATCGTGTTGAGTGGTAAAAAGGCTTTCTCAAATTTTTAGGGGTGTATCGATACCACATTTTGGAGGTCGATCCGAACCGATATTAAATTGATATAGGCCGATTACCGATTCGATCAGATATCATATCTGATTTTATATCTTGTAAAGACACAAATCGTTTTAATTTTTAAAGCCTACTAGAGGTGTGCAATGGGCCTGTTTTTATCCAAAAAACTCGCCCACTCTTTGTTTGGAAATTAACCCACTCGCCCTCTCACAAGTAATTTTTATAATAAAGTTACCCGCCCATAACTTCATTCATCTATAAATTTTGTTTAACCCGCCTATCCGCCTAATGTTTTAAATTATTTTAATGGCTGGCTATTCATTAATTTTATTTAATGTATTTTTAATTAAACATATATAATATGCAATATTATGAAATAAAACTATTACCTTTTAATAAATTAAAGTCTGTTCTGCTCATTTCCCCTGAAAAATATTAAAAATTCACCCACCCACGCCCGCTCATTACTTAAATTTTTTTAATTCTCGCTACCCTTCTAATCTTGAAATGCAGACCTCCAATACATACATCTACTCATCTCGTATACTTTTTAATAGTATAACATATATAATTTAAATATACCATAACATAAATCATTTATTAAATATATTATCATAATCAGTTATAGTTTATATTCATGAATCTAAAAGTATATAAAATATTTTTATTTTTTAATGATAAAAAAATAAATATTATATAAAATTTAAAATAAATATTTAAATTAATAATTAAAATGGTTTTATAGGTATATATAACTTAAATTTATAGCATCGGATCGAAAATTTTTATTATATCAGCCGATAACCGATATTTTAAAAAGATGAAATATCGACCCGATCCGATAAATAATATTGGTACTTCCTTACAAATTTGTATTTTACTTAAAAGGTTACTCGAAAAATATAAATTATAGAGACCTATATTTGGAGGCATTAAAAAGCTTAAGAACTGGAATAAGATGTTGATCATATTTTCATCCATTTCGATCAAAATGGATGACATCATTATTAATATAAATTTTTATTCAGTTAATTATCTTAACTATACATTTATTTCGGGTTCCCGGATCAATTCATGTTCTCATTCCAGTCCCGGTTAAAAATGGTTCCGATATCTAAATATATTTTTTTAATCTACACATTTCAATTAATCTTTATTTAATCATTAAATGAATCTATTATTACATCGAAGCAATAATATATTTTCTAAAATATTACCATTTATATTGGTTCTTTATGGTGTTAGTATCAATTTGAGTGTCGAAAAATAATGTTAAGCACTCACTTGGATATATGAAGTTGCCAATACAATTTGGGCCAATTCATACAGTACAGAATTTTTTATTTTATTGGATTCTCAGTATTCTAGAAATTTTTTTGATTAATATAGAGGATTCGCTGGATTTCTTATTATAGTTGATAGAATATCATCCTTTTTTTAAGTTTTGCCCTTTTTCTTTTTTAATCTTGGACCTTAAAAATATTTCTAATTCATCATATTCTTGTCCTTCTTCAAGAAGATTTATCCAAATTACTTATTATAATTAAGCCGTCATCCTTGAAATTTAACATGTTCCCATGTCGCCAATAAATAATTTACAGCTATATTATTTTCCTCTTCGTTCAAAAGAGATTTAAACCTACGATCTAGATATAAGGCATAACAAAGTAATTAATTCATTAGCATTTTTTCCCTTTTGTTGAGGGCTGAAATGAAGTTTTGTGATAACAAGGAATTAATTTTTTGAAATCTTATTTTACACTTGGTCCATTGGCCTATAAAATAACTGGAAAACTGCTCTCCTTTTGGAACATTGAATTTGCTTCCTTTAACTCTAATGAACCAGTTTTCTACAGTTTTCCAATCTTATTTGGAATAAAAAAAATTCCAAGTGTACCATTTCTAAGGTTAGAATATAAAAAGAACTTAATATATATACACCTGTTAGATGGGTTAAAAAAAATTATAAAAATAAATAAGAAATTTATATATAATTTCAGAAACGTTCTGGGAAGGCTCCGCCGTTTAAATTTACTCAAAACTTCGTTCCCGTAACGTTCCATTCCATGATTTATTTAATATATAAGAAAATTTATGAATAATTTTTTTAAGATATAATTTAAATTTACGATTAAATGACCAATCAGAAAAGTGGACGACTTTACTATCAAATGAGATCACGATCATAATTAGTCAAATCTAATGAATTCTATTTAAAATAAAAATTAACTCTGTTTTATCACTTCCGGAAAGGATTGAGATCGATTTTTTTAGTACCTTTGACACGTTCAGAATAATTCAAATTTTTTATTTAATGTATATAGTACCTCAAAATGTTATAAAACAACGAAAAAGATATTTGGCTGTTTAAAAATATAGCACTATCTTTAATTTTTCCACATAATATTACCCTTAAATCGATTATTTTGCCCAATAAAAAAGCTTTTGGCTTCTTGAAATATAACACCATCTTTAATTCATTTTAATTGATTTTAATCTTATTTTCGTTAATTTTTTTAAATATTGGTTTGTGGCGTAAATTTAATGAAACATGAATAATCAAAAAAAATATTTGCAAAAGTTGGAAGTCTTAGTCATAATAAAAGTTTAGTTTTAAACTTTCTACTGGACTTTAGATGACCATGTAGAATAAGAAAAAAAATTCTCCCCAGAATTATCAATCTATTACTTACTAATATATTATATGTATATCAAACTCAATATTTAAATTATTGAGTTTTTTTATTAATAACTCGTATGATCTTTAATCTTCATAAATATTTTTATTGGAGATGAACGAGGTGAGCGAATGGCTCGTGATTTGATATAATGATTTAATAACCATCCTTTTTTTACCCCCCTCTCCCTCCCAAGTTTAAAACTAGCATCTCCAAAGAATCCAAAGGAATTGTCACTCTCGACCCAAATCCTAATTACGAGCGCTCTAACACAGCTAACGACGCCCATTTCAGCCACCGCAATAATAGTAAATCGACCCATAACCAAAAGTTTAGGAAGAGAATCGATTCAGACTCCTCACCTTCTCAATCGCCGGATGAGAAAGGGGATGAAAACGAAAGCGGTTCTCCAGACGAGCAAATCCCGGACGATAGCGATGACTCTAATTACGATTGCGACAAGGACAAGTTCAGCGATTTTGGTAGTAAAAAGAAAAAGAAAAAATCTTACATGGAAAGCGTGAAACGGGGCAAGAGTAAAATTACTGCAGCTGAGGAGGCCAAACAACACGCGAAACATGGCGCCAAGAAAAAAGGCAGACCCCCAAAATTAAACAGCAGGGTAGACGGTACCACGATAGGCCACAGTACACGTGAAATTAAGAAGGATACCTCAGTATTGGGGAAAAATTTGGTTAAAAGTGAACAGAGCTCGGATAGCGGTGATGAAGAGGATGATAAGGCGGCTACAGGTTTGAAATGCTTATAAATTTTTTAAAAAATTGACTGACAACTCGTTCATTTAAATGCATATCAATATAAATCAGCTTGTGGCACCCCATTTTGGTTTTCCATACAAACAATTAAAATTACAAGGGAATGTCACCAACTGATTTGTATTCAATGACTCTAAAATGTATTTTTAATGAATAAATGCGTCAGTCTAGATAAGTATTATATGTCATTGGCGGAAGATTATTAGAGATTTTAAGACATAATATTTTAAATAAGTTATCCAATCGAATGGAGTTGGGTTAGTGTTGTTAAACGGCTCGATTTTTTTAAACGCTTATCCCAATATTTTAGCCAAAAAATATTACGCAAACCTGGAGATTTTGTTCATAAATGTCAGAAAGGTGTAAACATTTTTTAACGAAATCTCGAAACGGGCTTAATATTATGTTGGCTGAAATCATCGAGCCCGTTTAACATCAATAATTTAGGTTTTGTAAAAAGATGAAATGTTATCATGTTTTTTATAAATATATTTTTTTTATTGAATCAACCTTTCTCTACATTATCTAATGATATATATATAATAGAGGTCTGCATTGGGCGGGTTTTTGGACCATAAGCCCACCCACCCAATGTTTAAAAAAATTTTAACCCACCCACCCATAATTTTCAAAAAATACCTGCCCTCCCATTAGTCTAAAATTTTTTACTCTCCCACTCATTATTTATTAAAATTTTTTAAACATCTAATAAAAAAAATTTCAACATTATATCTCTATCTCTACAAAAAGTTTTATAATTTACAATTTAAATTATAGATAATTTATGAAAAAAATATAAAAATTGATATTATATGTAATTATAATGCAAAAATAATGAATCGACATTTTCTGGATTCAAACACGTTCTTCTTTGTTCCAAAAACCTTCCAGCAATTCTAAATCCTCTTTCAGAATTGCTGGAATTGCCAATATTTTTCTTGCTAATCTTGATAGCTTTGGCAAATTCTTTCTTGTCATTTCCACCAAATTAGTTTTAAATATAAAAAAAGTTTATTTATTTTAAGAAAAAAGTTTTTATGATACCAAAAAAGGACATTTTAATTTTTTAAATTAAATTTACTTAACCCGCCCGCCCATTGTTTAATTTCTTAACCCACCCTCTCACCCGCCCATAGTTTAAAGAATTTTGTAACCAGCCCGCCTGTCCGTTCTTAAGATGGGCGGGCGTGGGCTGGCGGGCAGAAACCCCACCTCCCAATCCAGACCTCTAATATATATACTACTAGATAAGCTATTCATTTAATAAATAAATTTCCATACATAAGAGTCAGCTGTAGCGTCATTTTGTGTGCATTCATAAAATGATAAATAAACAATTAATGACGTGCAAATCACAAAATGGCGCTTGTATGGACCCACTTTTAATTAACGAAATCGCTAATCTAGATACATTATTAACATTACCTTACTATTATTCTCTTTTAGTGATCAAGTACAAGAAACGGAACAAAAAGAGTCAACAATTCAAAGATACGTTCACTATTGAAGGTTTCTTTTTTTTTTTTAAAAAAATGATATTTCTTAACAATATTTTTATTCTATTTACCTTATTTTAAAGTATATTAGTGCCTTTTTCTAATTGTTAATTTCCAGGCTAGAGAACCTGCTGGCCCTACTTGAATTCTGAGTACTAGGATGATTTATTTTATGATAGAAAACGACAAAAATTTGCCTAATTCTTTTAATCTCAAAAAAATTTGTCAAATTCTCCTGAATATTTAGTACAAGTTGCCGAGCCTTGTCCGGAGAAATATTTTGTCCAAGTTATCTAGCTGGAAAATATTTTTGCCCAGCGGGCCATGTCGACTTTGCAGGTCTCAATACTGTTATGCAATAAAGCAGTATTTATTAAAGAAATTTTTGTTCGTTTTTCTATTACAAAATATACAATAACTATAAATGTTTTTTTAAAACTAAAATTATTATTCTTCAAGAAATTATGGATAGCCCTTTATTTGGGAAATTCGATAGGTTGATGGAAAAGGTTATTGAGCAATCGGAAGAAGCCGACATCCCTTCTCTTTTCTTCCACAAAAGTAATCATTAAAATGTTTTTTATCATACTCTAACTATATTGTATGAATGATATTTCTCGCATAAAACAATTTTGAAAATTAAAAATTAGCTACAACTTTGAGAAATCGGAAACTATAAACAGCAATTAATTAGAAAATATTTGACATTTAAAAATAATTTTAAATGCCCATTTAATTATTCATCACAACTAACAAACAATAAGTGATACATTAATAATGTTGCATAGATTCTAAATGAAAAATGAATTAATCCTTTCATCTACCTTTTCACTTTTAATTTCCTCGGTTATTTATTTACAGATTTATTAAGTATAGAGTAGATTGTAAGCTTATTAAACGATCTTTTTACATTGCGATAGATAGGATGGAATACAGTTTTGTTTTATTTCGAGCGAGAATTTTTTTTTTGATGAATAACCCTGAAATTTGGTTTAGTTTTGATCATATTTCGAATTTGCTAATGAAAAAGAAAATGCGGAAAAATAAAATTTTGAATTATAGTTGATCTTAAATTTTGGAGTATAAGTTTTAATAAATAAGATTTGAAATGTATTTGTGACCCCAAAAATTAAGATCTAACTCAGGCAGGATTGTCGATCCTTTAAACAAATTTGTCAAATTTTTAGAAAATAATAAAATTTGGGATTTAAATTTAAAAATAAATAAATAATCGGTGTGAGCGTGTAAATTTACTTCTTCAAACTATATTCCATTTTATTTTAAATGGAAAATAAATTCATAGACAAAGATCAAAACATGGACGATGACATAGATATCCCGACCGATTCTTTGATCGTCAAATACCTTCACAATTCTCTGGCTACAGAAGCTGCTAAGATGAAGGCACTCAATTATTCCAACGTTGTAAGCCTGACGCAATTTACATTCTAAGCATTATTTTAAACACTCTCTGAAAGATTATCATTATTTGCGCGGTGATATTATTGTGATTATAGATCGATTGTTACATTCTAAGCATTAATTTAGACATTTTCTGAAAGATTGTCATTTGTATTTGCACGGTGATGTCAATAAACTATTCTAGAGTCGAAAAATACCTCTCAACATTAAATTCATTTATGAAAATCATTTATTGAAATTTAGAACTTTTATTTTATAATTTTTATTTTATTTTAGACAAAGTTCTTGTAATCTTAATCACATAAACATAATATTACTTAAAGTGAATTAATAATATTACTTGAAGTGAATTAATAATATTGTTATGTGAAGCAAACTGGAATGAAAGAATAACTAAAATTTATGAATGAGCTATTATAATTATTATGTTTAATGGATATATAATAAATTTAATTAAAATTCTCATTTTTCGAAACATTCCCCGGTACTGTTCCTGCAACATTCCCGGAATCTCGTTCTCATTCCTATAGCATTGCATAATATTTCCCAAAGATTCGTTTCCAGAACTTTCCGTTCCTTTACCCTGATAAATATAGAAATGTTATATCGGAATTTTTAACTTTTATTTATTAAAATCAAGTTGAATTTAAAATATTAATTTATTAATAATCAACCTATTAAATTTTAATTAAACGATTTTACATTAAAATTAAAATATATCAATATTTATAAAAATAAATACCATTTCGATGTCTGAGTATTATAGTGTTCTATATCCACATTTTTGCAAAATGCATTTTCGATAAAGTCAATTCTTCAGCACTAAAAATTCCCCATATCAACACTAAAAATATTCAACTATAATTTAGAATAATCCTGTATTTTGCATTATTATTAGTGTTATTAATCTCCTGATTTAAAATACAAGAAACATTTTTTTTGAAAATGCTCTCCTGAACCATTTTGAAAAATGAAGATAAAACACTACAATACTCAGCCGACGATTTACTTTATCCTGATGGGATTAACATATGCTCAAAGAAGATTTATGACCAAAATAAAAAGTATTTTGTAAAAACAAGCTTCTTTGATTTTCCTCCCTTGATGTTTTTTTTTAAAAAAATGAAAAAAAAAATTTCGCAGATCTTTTAAAAAAATAAATAGCATAATTTTCAAATTTTTGTTAAACCCTGTCGAAGATTGTTTTTTGGGGGGGGGAAGGTTATTAATATGATATAACGATACAATTGTAAAACTTTTATTATTTTATATTTAGCAATTTAATGTTGATATAATTAATTTTAATATTGTATAGTGTTGTTAAAATTACTAATTTAGACACTATTTTTAAAAAAATGAAAAAATAAAGAATAAAGATTTTAGCCAAAAAATTAATCATTTAAGCTTCGAGATTTTGCTTATAGATTGCAGAAAGGGTCGGCCCTCTTGACCAAATCTCGCGATTCTGGTAATATTTTTTGGGCTAAAATCTTGATTTAGCCGGTTTTGTTAAAAAAATTAGCTAAATTCATGTTTTGAAAATACTAATTGCAATTGATTTGATTGTTTTGAAAGTTTATTTTAGCAATTTTGAAGTTAATAAGTGAAAGCTTTTCAGAAATATCTAATGAAAATACACAAAATTGCCACAAAAAATATTATATATTAAGTATTTAGATTATAATAAATAACATTTTATTATTCTTTTTTAAAAAAAAAAGCTCAACGTAGAGAAGATGATTAAAGTATTCAACGTGTTTATCTGGAATATCAAAGACGGCATGAAAGTTCTCCCTCTAATGCAACAAGTACACTTTCACTTATATGCAAAACATGTCCAGTGTTTACATAACGGCAGGGGGGGGTAGGATCCATTCACATCTATATTATCTTTCAGTAAATAATAGGTCAGCTCCTAAGAAGGTATATAGCAAATTTTATGAGGGGCCTAGGGGTAAATATGGGTATGTTGCCTTTAATTTTTTTCACTCTCAATCAAGTGTATAAGTTTTTTTTATCGTTATTATTTTTTTGGTTTAAAACTCATAAATCACTCTTTTTTTTATTCCACAAGGGTAATGAGAACGAGGACGAAACCAAATTATGGGAAGAACTAGCTTGGGAGCGAGTATTCCGCAGCGCGGATTGTTGTTTAACCTCTCTTTACGTCTTAACGTCTTCCCACATATCAAAAAAGGTTATTCACGTCTCATATTATTTTTTTTATACATAAACCAAGGTCCTAGCAAGCTATTAACATCGCGCGATTTTATTCGTAAGTAGGTAAGTAGTTTTAAATCAAACAACCGTGTAAAGAGCAGGTGTAAAAGATCAAAATAATTGCACAATTTATTTCAAAATGGAATATAATTGTGTATTGCTTGCTGGGATGTAGTTCAACATTTCATTTATTGGCAAAATTATAATTATCGTGTTATTTTCTCCACTTTTAATTATGTGGTTGCAATTAAATATAGTTTTTATCTACATGACATTGGGTGTTTTTAAAATTGCAACTCACTCAAAAAATTTATCAGCGATAATTTTTTTTATAAATCCCCTTTTTTTATTTTCATATTGGACCCCCGCCATACTTTAGTTGTTTATGGAGGACGTGATTGAGATCATCATTCAGTTTACCAAATACCATTTGATCAATACAATATACCCCGAATTCGATCCGGTATACAAGATAAACAAGTCCAAAGGTATTTATCAAAAATCGATTTAATGTTCTTTTTTTTGTCAAATGAGCTTGAACTTAATTCTCACTATATAACTACTTGGCCAATCCATAGGCTGGAACATCTATCTCGCCATTGATTTTTATAATTAGATGAGATACCTTGATATTTTACAGGCTAATCTGCATAAATCAGGATTGTGGCTTTTTAAAACATTATATTTTGTTTATAGGGAAATATTTTTTCATGACTCTATGACCTTTTGATCAACGACATTTTTGGCCACCAGAGGTTATAGTATGGTTCGGACTAAAAAATTTATATTTTGGATGTCCAGTAACAATTTAAAAAAATTTTTCAAAAAAATTTAAAAATTTAAAAATGTAAATTTATTTTTTATTTTTTGGAATGCATTAGTTATTTGTTTTTTGTATTATAAAAAAATTTTGCTTCTTCCAATAAAAAAAAGATTTTTACGTGAAGAGTAAACGACATAAAAGCCATCAGGTCGAAAGCAAATGCACTCTCACTCTTTATAACAAATTAAACGAGATAGTTAATATGCTGGCCGAACTGATAGAGGTGCAAACGTTTACCGATTCGTCCATCATACTGGTAATTAGCGGCAATATAAAAACATTTTATGATATTTTTACGAAATATTTTAGAAACCTACAGTACAGACCCAGGCTTTAGTTATGCCACCCTTAGTTATGTTAAAATCCTTTTTTTTTAAAAACCCAGGTTAGAACATATAAAATCCATCTTGGCCATAATAGACCAAAATTTGAATACAAACTCGGATCAGGCATCTAACTCATATCAGTGTTGTTAATTTTCCGGTAGAGTCGAATGGCCCGACATTTGTAGATTTCGTTGCAATGATTTATCCCGACTTATCTCGAATGATAAACAAGTCGAGAGATATGTTTTTACAATCTAAATGAGTGGATCCCGTTTGGCTCCATCTGATAATCAACAACACTACCCGGTTACTTATTTACTGAGTATAGTTGGGTAATGGCTAAATGCCAGTTAATTTGGCTCAATCTACAGTCACGTACCAAAGAAAATCCGTTACTGTTACGTTTTAATATATATTTGTTTATTTCAAAATTTGAGTTGTTGAAAAACCCCTAGTCCAAAGTGATAATTTTTGGCTTGAAACTCCTTTTAGCCGATTTTTTAGCGGCCAATAATTGGCATAAACGGCTAAAAATATAGTAATTACCTATAGTACTGCATGTCTCAATAATTTCTAATTTTAATCGTAGTTTTTGGAGAAGAAGGTTAAAATTTCTCAACTTTTTAAACATTGCATTATTCTCTTTCCTTAAATATAAAATTATTCGTTTAATAAAATAGATTTCGTCGTTAGGAACCCAGCCATTTTTCGTCGAAAATATAAGCGACTTACAATTGAACGCTCTAAGACTCATAACTTCGGTAATGATATTCGTCTATATATTTTTTTTTCTTAAGTAGTTATTTATAAAATAAACTTTTCTTTTTTATTTTAACCCCTTTCAAAACAAATATTTTCTGGAATTTTATGAACCCGATTAAAACAAAGTAATTATAAATTATACGATTAGATTTGAATCGCCATTTTGTAAAATTTTTACTTCAAGTGATTTGTAATCATGTTTGAAAATATAAATGATTTTTTGATAAACCACTAAAATAATAATACTTTTTATTGATTTGAGCAACCGTTAATTACTTAATTTACGATGCACTTAAAACGCGTTTAATGATAAAAGTAGTCTTGTTAAATCATTCGATTTGTCCCTATTTTTAAAAACACCTCACTCAATATTTTAGCCAGAAAAATATTGCCTAAGTCTCAAGATTTTGCTAACCCTGCTATCTATGAGCAAAATCGACAAGTTTCCGTAATATTTTTTTGGATAAAATAACAACACTAGTTAAAATAATAGGATGTATTAACTTTTAAGATTGGAAACTTTTATACACAGCTTTAAAGAAAAGCTTTTAAACGCGACGTTAGAGAAACGTGCAGAACCAGAATATAATTCATATTTTGGGGGGCTTAGAATTTTACCTCTTAAAAAGTATCACGATACCTTTCAATTAAGAATTTACGATATATAATGCGAAATTTTATTATTGAAGTTAATCGTATTTGTTTTCCTTCCTCTGTGTGCACATGATTATAACATATTTGAAAAAAAAATAGTTCAAACAAATATAATGAAAACATCACACCTCTTATGATGGCGCACCAAATAATTAATATTTATTTCATCTCAATTTGGTTAAACATGTAGCCAATCCGATATCAGATACGAGTGATCGTATTGGTTGGTGTATATAAGATTCCTATGATCAGATCTGTTTTAGACCATTATATGAAGATATTAGATTTGTAGATCTGCACAGTCCTAGTTTTAATGTTCCCATTTTTTTTATAACCTATATCTCGAACTAGCTTTACCATTTTTTGTTCCTGGTGTAACGATTTAAGTATTTAGTTAGTAACGTCAAGTCGCCTAAATTATGAGACGCGAATTGATTTTTCTTATACTTTGAATTTTCAAGTTTGAACCTGTTTTAGACTTAGAATAAAACGGCTGCCGTTTTGCAGTTAGTATAAATAGAGCAATTTATCAAACACTTGTACCTAGATGTAAATTTTCGATAAGCGAAGTAAATGAGAGTCCCTTAGTAAATATTTGCAACATTTTGCTTCCTTATTTTTTGATTCGTATTCTATAAAAATAAAATTATTAATCTTGTTTATAAAATAGTGACTCCTTTAATTTTGAGTAATAATTAAATAAGACAAGTTTCTATTCTAAATGGGAAGAAAGGAAGGAAATTTAAAAATAGATCAAAGAAAACAACTTTTTATTTGATGATACTTATTCGTTAGTATATTTTTTTATTTTTGAGATATTTCGTCAATATTAATTTTGTTATCTTTTTGTCAATCTATCTCAAAAATAAATAAATAAAAGAACCAATTTGATAACCTTTTGAAAAATATTAATTATTATTTTTTGAAATATAATTTTCAAAGATATTTTCTAAATACGACAAACATCGACAATTAATTTTAGAGGACATTTTGTCATCTTTAGCCCGTTTGCCCCTGTCCAAACGCAATTTAAGATCTTACAAGTAATTGTCCAATCAATTTTTTAATTATGTAATTAGTTTTGAATTTTGTTCCTATATTATTATTTAAAATCAATATTTTAAGGATATATTTTTAGACTTGAGTATCGTGGATGGCTAGATTTAGCGTAGCTACTTAAATAATTTAATTCAAATTTTTTATTTAACATTCTCGTATTCCCCTTAATAATTGCTTGCTTTAAAATATACCTGTTCATAGACGACTGAAGTTGAACCGAAAAGATTAATAATTCCTTGCTAGTAGAGATGAAAAAATGGAACTTATTGGTCAACCCTAGTAATTGCATATGTACCTTAATCCTAATTGAATTTAATCCAGGATTTATTATATTTAGAATAAAAGCTTTTACCAGAATTAGCATTTTAACAATTTAATATACCCATATCACTTTGCCCCAACAAGAATGTTTATTATATAAATCGTTATTACCTCATTTCTTTTATATTATTTAAAATTTTAATAAATATGATGTTAAATTAGGGTAAAGTCAATGACAGAGACCAGGTGGGACCACCCGATTTAAAACACTGGACAAATTTAACCCTTTATAAAACTAACACAGGACTCCCAATTTCACTTAGCGAAATAATGGTCGGTATATTTCGTTTTAAGCATTCTAACTAAAATTCATGTATTATTAAAATAAATACATTTAATTGATCGATTCCCTCCCAAATTGATAAATAAAAGGATAAATTCTGAAGACTCAATTCAAATGGTCAGCGCTCTGGTGCTTCAACTTATTCATTGCATTGTTGATTTTCCACCCTTGTTTCATTTTAAAATGTCGACCGATAACCAATTAGTAGACGCCAACAACGAATACAAGGTAAAATAAATTTCTAAGGGGGTATATGAGGGGGGGGGGGTGGATAAATTGAAATAAAAATACTTTCCGCATTCAACTAAGCTTTATATATAGAAGCGAGAGGTAGAAAGCCCTGCCAAAATCCTTAAATTACTGATCACCTTTTCATCTTGGGCTCAAAAAGATTAATCGCTCTAGAGTCGTTACCTCTTGAAGACATTTTTGCATTAATAATTTTTTTTTATCATTACATTTAACTTAAATTTTCCCGCTATTGAAGGCTTAACCTATTTCCCTTAATATGAACAAAGCTTATTTAAATGTAAATTAAATTACCTTTATTTTCGTAAAAGCCATAATGTATTAAGATGATCAAACTTTCCTAAAGGTTTAAAAAAATAATATTTAATTTAGCCCTTTCCATTTTAATCATTAAATTTCAAAAAAAAATTGGCACACCAAAATAAAATCGAAAAATGATATTTTAATTAATACACCGTAGAATCTGCCCGACCACGATATAATGACGCTGAACTCTTACGGAAACGCGACTAAAACGGCGCACAACTTCTTAGCCATATTTCTGAAAAAGTTAAAATTTGAAATTTTATATTCCGTCTATTATTATAGTATTCACGCCAAGCCTTCCTCAATCTTTTTCTGTGGTTGACCAACCTCTATATAAGGTTATATATTTGATGTCAATCTAACCTATGTTTCACTAATGCCAGAATTAGGCCTACTATGAACACGATACATTCATATTGGTATATAATTTAAAAAAAATAGACAGCCTAATTCTAGCGCTCAAGTTGTGCCAGAATGATATATAATGGTTACGATGCACTTTACACAGCTTGCCTTGAATTTTAATATTTATACATCTTCTTACCTTTCATCAGATGCAGCGTGAGATCGTGTGAAGAAGATTTTAGAACTCTCTTCGACCATTTTGTCGACGATTTACTCACGACTGTCAATAAACCCGAATGGCCCGCTTCCGAACTGCTTCTCACAATACTGGGAGGAATATTGGTTAGAAAAAAATTTAATATTCCAAAGTTGACTTGTTTTCTTTCCCATCGAATAGATTTTGACATAAATTAAAGTCCCCAAAAAGTAGAAGTAATTATATTTTCTCTACAGTTCTCCATAAATCGCCATTTTTATAACTTTTTTTTATATCTAGGATTAGTTCTTCTCGATTAAAATTTTTTGTTAAATAAGGCAAGAATCATATATTAAAAAAATATTTACTATAAAATGGTCTTTAAAAAAAAACAGGTTCAAAATTTTAGCGATAGAAAAGTTGAGATTGCCCTCAGGCTCGCTTCCTTGGAATACTTGGGCAAGATTACCTCGAAGCTCAGGAAGGATTCCTTGACTAGTCAATCCGATGCTCTCGTTTTAAAGGAGATATTGGATCAAGTAAATTTTTTAAACAAAATTTATAAATATGAATATAAGACTAGTAAAAAGAAACTAAATGATAAAGATAAAGTATAAGAAGGAACCATGTATTATTTTTAAAAAAAATTGAAAAAAAAATATTATCTGGCCTCGTTTGTATATTGAGTTCTAAAGTTTTTTTTAAAAATGTGTTGAAAATTTTGTCATTATAAATAACTTTTAGATTTTTTTAAACATTACCAAAAACGTTTGATCTGTAAATGAATATAAAAGACCTAAATTGTTCTATGCCTCGAAGAATATCGGCGATAAATCCTAAAGGTGACCGTATCTCAATTTTAAAACATATGGCCACTTAATTATAAATTTTTAGCTCTAAAATAATTTTACTATTAATTACGATATATTTATTTTATATAATTATTTTGATAAACCATGATAATAATATATTTTTATATTAATAATATACTTATTAAGTTATTTTGTTTCCACATATTGACCTAATACAACAGAAAAATTCTTTATATTTTATAAGATTAAAATTGATTTTTTTAAATAAAATAATAACACTGGATTGTTGAGATGCAAGACACATTGGTTTTTGGTTTAAGAATATTGTTGTGTTGGAAGAGATAAAATAAAATCCCAATACGAATCACGTGATAGTGTAGCGATTATTTTTCCCCTACAAATATATATTTCTTAAAAAATTATATTCGATTATCCGCCCGCTAGAATTTAGGACGTCACTCATTTTAATGTTAAAACAAAATATTTATTTTTAACAGATTCGCACAGCTAACGAGGATTCTCTTCAGTACAATGTAAGTTTGAAAAAATAATTTTTCTTTTTCTGACCTTATTTAGTGGTCCTAATGTTTGAATATACATTATGATACTCAGAAATAATGTTATCGCGTTCAAATTAAACGCTTTCATGAACGAAGTTCGTTTTTTGAAAAAAATGATGAACGACTTTCGTTTTATTATTTTTGACGAAAACATGAACCCTTTCCTTTTTTGTACAATTTTAGAAAATTTTAATTGTATTCATTTGAAAATAAAAAATATTAAATGCAATTAAAAGGAGTTATTTTTCAATCAGCTGTTTCTTTTATCACATCTGATTTTTTTTAGCCAACCACTATTTCTGTCCTATAGTATAGTTTATTAATTTGAATATTATTTATAGATTAGCGTAAGCAAAAATTATTTGTTTTATAATAAAAGTTTATTTTATAACTGATTTTCTTAAAATGTAATATAATATTTATAATTAAATGAGATAAGTCTTTTAAGCCATAATGCAATACAATATATATAATTAAATATGATGAGTCTTAAGCCATATCTATGGGAAATAATCTATTTCTAAGCAGAAGTACGATCAGTCACCTTACCCTATTTAATATAACATTCAACTAAATTTGATATGATTTTTTTATTTTATTATTATATTTTTTTCAAAGGAATTGAAAAAGGAGCCAGAAACTTTGAAACTTCAGAGACTCTTATTGAACTACCTACAAGAAAATAGTGTAAACGATCCTTTTATTAGGGTAATTATTCCTTATATATAAATATAGCGATTTATTTTTGCACTTTTTATACTGTTTATTTTCTAAATTAATTTTTGATACGCCCTTGAGAAAACATCATCACAATTGGTCTCATTCCCCCTTCTCCTTTGATTATTTTCTTTACCCCCCAAAATCCTACTTTCAGCCTTAACGCAGTGGTGGATTGAACAGACAACCATTCCTACAGCGGCAAATGGATGCTTAAAAAGTTCCCTATGATCTGTGTTTAGATGATCACCGTCTTTACGAAGGGATATAGAATCACCTAAAAGGGGTTGATATCAGGAGCATCCGATTGTAAAAAAAATCCCCCTCCTCATCATTAAACTGAGGAGAAGAAGTCCAAGTTGAATCATTTCCAGACAGAACTTTTTTTCAAAGGGGTTTCCTAGACAGCATTTTTCCAGCAATTTTTTTAAAATTTATTTCAAAACAAAATAATTTGTTCAGTTTTTAGAAAAATCAAAAACTTAGGAAACTGCTTTGAAAAAACGTACTGACTGAAAATGGCCTAGCGCCGTTTTAGCGTTTTCCTCAGTTTTAAGTAAATATAGCGATAAGGATTTGCCAAAATAATCTGTGTTAATTTATGATAAAAAGGGGCGCTGATAGTCTGCAAGACGATCATATTAATTTGGGGTCAATATATTATAAAAAAATACTTGTATATCGTTGGCTGCTCTTGCTAACTCACATATCTGACTTTAAAAAAAATTTTTTTAGAAGGGGAAACAAAACAAACACAATTAATCAGAGATGAACCCCAATACCATTAATAGATTTTTTTAAAAATAAAATAAAATATAATCCACAAAAAAACTTGTTTATTTGAAAAAAAAGAGATTTTCTACAAATTTTTTTAGTTTTAAAATTTAAAAAAGACATAAAAAATGCCCTTTTCCATTTTAACGAAGACTTGTAGTTTGTAAATTTATAGACTTGAATAAAATTAATTTTCACCAGCAAGCTTTTAGAAGTAAAAAAAGAAGAGAAAATAGGGGGAAAAAAGAATTAACCTCCATTTATTTATTATTAATTAATAGGATTATTCAAAAATGAGTATGAATCGAATAATGAATTATTCGTATACTATTTCTTTTTGAACGAATTAAATAATTATACGATTCGAAAGGAAATTATTTTACTATTCGTTACTAAAACGAATAGTAAATCATTCGATTCGTTTGTGAATATGCCTATTATTTGATATCGGTTCATGAGATAAAAGGTAAAATATTGGATATGGGTTGGCCTGAGCCTACTATTTTACCTAACACTTTTATTTTTTCCCTATCTGTTTAGGAAATTTGTAAATTTTTTAAAATTTCTTATAAACGCATAAAATATAATTTATATTGCTTAATTATTATGTTAAGTATCGCACCATTTTTATCCCTTAAAATAGAAAGTTTTTTCTAAACAATAGATACTTTTGATATAATATTCATTTATGCCAAAAATAAATGATAAATGTCGTAAATGTTGGATACAACTTTAGGCATAGGCTACGATATAAAAGATCGTTATTTCATATAAAGGTTTTCTTCATATTGTAATATAAATAAATTCCCCTTTCCCATCCTAGTTTGCCAGAAAGTTTATTATCATTCAATGGTACTGCGACATCTTACTCAAGGCTAACAAAGCTGCGAACACTAATAAAAATAGCGATGCGACCGCGTCTACCCATGATATTAGTATTAATGAGTCTGCTAAGGTGTCTAACGAATCGCGTGCTACATCCCGTAAAACAGGACCTACTACCATCATTGAGACTAACAAGTTAAAATACTTTAAAAGGAAAATTATGTTTATATTTTCACATGCTTTAATATTAAGTTGCTTTCTGCTTTTAGAATTTTGTTTTGTTTGGTCCCCTAATAAATCCATTATTATGTTTTTCTTGGATTTAGCTAACGTTTCCTGCTTTACCAATCGTAACGATATGGAAACTTCTTAATACTTATAAGAAATAATAGATTAACCATTTTTGAATTCTTATTATAATTTTAGTCGAGAACGGTTTTTTTAAAAAATAATTTTTAAGAAAACAAATGGTGATTCTAATCTTTTTTTTTCACGATTTAGAATTAAAAAAAATGAACACGTAAACTTATCTCAAAATTAAAATATTTAAAGGTAATTTATCCCTTTGAATCAGAGTTTGAAATGCTCTTCAAAATTTTAAAAAAAAATTCAAAATATATTTTTGAGAAAGCTCAAATCGGTTTTTTGATCAAATTTTACCTATTCCAAATCTTTTATAAATAAATCTTAAGTCAAAGAAGTATTTTTGATAATCAAAATTAAAAAGTAAAACAACACACTTCTGAAAAATAAAACCAAAAAAAAATTATTTAAAAGTACCCTTTAAAAAAACGAATAGAAATTAACTCCATTTTCTTATCAATTTTTTTTTAACTAAAATTAATTAATTCTTTTTTAAAAAATATTATATTAAATATATAAAAAATTCCTAGTCAAAATAATATTATGTAAGCCTCGAGGTTTGGCAAATAGAGGTCCATACCTATCTGCCATCTATGAGCAACCAGGCTTACAAAATATTATTTTGACTAAAATCTTAATTGGCCCTTTTTAAAAATTCTACCCAAATCGGGCGTTTAACCAACACTAAAAAAGTCATTTGTTTTTTCCCCTTATAAATTAAAATAATAACTTTTTTTAAAAATAGCAAGTTGGAAATGATTATTTTTTCATGTCATTCATAATATGATATTTTAATTAACTTATACAGTGCATCCGGAAATGAATCTTCTAGCCATTCTTCCTCACATTCGTCCGACGACGAGAGCTCGGGTTCGAGCCACACCTCTCATTCCTCCGAGGATAACGACAAAACCTACGACCCCAAGTACATCAACAAAAGCGGCGAGAGGAGCAGAAAAAAAACCCGCAAAAAAAAGAGTAGCGGTAAAATTAAAACCAGCAAACATGGCGGAGTCAAGCTGAAAAAGGAAGAAGGTTTTGCTAATTTTGATCTAATAAATAAAAATAACGAGAGGGAACAGATGTTAGGACATTGAAAATAACCATAAAAATTTTTACAATGGCGTTATGCGCGTTTAAGCAAAAAATTTTCCCCTTTGGCCCCTTGCTCAATATATACCAATACGGAAAAACGTGATTTATAAACGTGAAGAGAAGAAAAAAATATTAAAAAGCCTTGCATAAGAGGTTTCTTTTTAATTTTTTTTGTAGGTATAGCCTTGTCTGGCCCGTATTTTTAAAATTTGATAATTTTGGTTATATTTTGAGGAATAATTTGAAAGAGAATTCGAAAATATAAGAATTGAATGAATGTTTAAATGTACTAACTCATTGTGATTTTTCGATAATTTAAATTTATTTGTTAAAAAAAACGTCTCATCCAGATTTGTAATTTTAGGCTCAGCTCAGCCCGGGGTTTTAAGGTCATATTATTAGTCTGCGCCGGGCATATATAGTCCGAAATTTTTTTTACTTAAAAAAAATATATGCATAAATCATGAAACGTTAGAATCCAATTCTTCGATCAAACCCGAAAAGGGCGACACTACGACAGAAGCCACTTTGACCCCTCCAAAAAATATATTAAAATCATCATCATCCTCCACCGCTAAACGTAAAAATTCCAAGAAAAAAAAGGTGCCCATCGACGAGAACAGCCTTGAATTCATGGAGTATCACAAAAATTTCCTCGTAGGGTTTGTTTATCCTTCTCTCAAGCCACCGACCTATAACAGTGATAGTGTCGGTAATGTCGCTTCCAGCGTTTTCAAGAAATCTAACATTCAAAATTCGAGTCACGAGAAGCTGGCGAACGAATCGGATGCTGTCATAAAAAGGGAAGAAGAAAAAGGGGAAAACCACGGCTCACTTTCCGCTAGTCAGGTCGATGTTACCGCGAAAGAAAGGGAAAGATGCATAGACGGAGCCCAATCGCAGGCAGCTTATCAAGCCACTTACGTGGGCATGAGCGGGAAATGCTTGTCCAAGGATATCAAAAAGTATACAGTTATATATATATCCCTAATTAAAATAAAATGTTGAAATGAGAATTATAAAATCTTAAAAAAAGCGATTTACATTATTTTAATAGAACATAACTCCCAACTTTTATTTATAGCATACATTTAGATACCGAGCAGTCAACTTTTATAGCAAAATATTTGGCTTCCAAACGTTTATTATGCAGAAGCTATGATATATACCTTGGTCAAGTAAGTCACTTTATAAAAAATATTTTTTTAACCATTTTGGGTTATTGTGTTTTATTTCTAAAAAAGAAATTATTATTATTTAACTTAATATTACATTACTAGGCTTTATCATAAAACGATCATACGAATTGATAAGGTATTGGTATTCAAATAATTTATTGTTTGTATTAGTAAGAATTATAAAGATTTCTATTTGTATTTTGTTTTAAATTATTTGAAATTCTTTTTAAATTTTAAATATAAAAATTATCATATTAATTTGATGATAAAGAACAATGCTACTAAGTAATTAACGAAATTAAAATTCATATTAATTTAATTTATAAAATGCTAAGGTAATTTTTTAGGCTAAAAGTTTTTCTTCTTGTTTCTTTGACAGCAAATCAAATTCAGCTGAGAACTGAGAAAAATGCTTCACGAGCATTTGATGCATAATTACAAATAATTTTATTTAATTTTATATTAAATAATTATTCCGAATAATTAGGTTGAATAAAACCAATTATTCGTTCGTCGAAAATTTTAAATTGAATAAACGTATTCGAATAAAACTGAATTTACCATTCATATTCGTTACTGTTCGATTCAATATTTGATTTATTCCTGAATGGGACTGAAGGCCGTTAAAGATAAAAGAACCAATATTAAAAAATGATTAATATAATAGATTTTATAGGTATTTTAACTAACAGATCAATCATTATTATTAAGAAAATATTTAAGCCGTTTCACTTTCATTTTGCAAAAAAATAAAATAATTAAGATACGACACATTAAATTTAAATTAGATTATTTTTATTTTTTACGAAACCGAACCTTGAACCGCCATTTTTATCTGAATCTGAACGTAACCAATATTCAGTTCGGATCCCTAAAAAAGCAAGTCACATGAACATCACACGCCATATATAAATATATAAAGAAATAATATGAATTATCTAATAATATCACGCCACTTTCGAATAGTATGATAAAATATATATCACGTGATATACGAAATAAATATTATTACTAAATAATACTATAATACTAAAAAATATATATTTGCTATTTGCATTTATTTTAGTAGATAAAAAGAGATTCTCTCGGTTCCTTTGAAAAGGGTCTTAACTTAATTTTATGGCTTAATAAATTAAGGAGGTTTAGAGCTTGAGTCAAAAAGCAGAATAATTGTGATGGAAGATAGATAGTATACAGTATAATTTACCTAATTTATGCACCACAAGGAGCAAAGTTTTTGCTCAACTTAGACATTCAAATTTATCAAGGCACTTTATAATATGTGGTAGTTATGCCCGAATTATAGAGCCCAAAGACAAGGTTTACTACAGTTAGTTTAAACGATTAGTGGGTTACGGTTCTTAGATTTGTCCTGGTTTCCGGGGTTCTGATTTCCGTTTTCAAACTATGGTTGAAATATAACTATCATTTCTTGATTTATCTGATATTAAGGGGGATTCATAATTTTTGTCCTACTGGAATGAGCAAGACACAAGTTAAAGTCACAAATGATAAGATTTGTGAGATGGGACTCAGTCCGTCAGGTCCCAGACTGTATCATGTGATGATAGATTTTGTTCGAGAATGTTTGCTATGTTGGCTTCTTTGTGGCTACCTCTAATTATTAGGTTTAAGGAGGTATGACGTTAATCCACGTTTACCTTTAGAGATGACCCAATAATGCTGTGCAAACATATTATTAGTTGGACTATAAGTAAGATTCTAGTTGTTAAGCTATTGCAACTCAATTGCTCACTTGATAAAAGTATCAATTCACTAAAACCAGATGAGAAGGATAAAGAAATAAAGCCCTAATTTTTAAAATTATTGAGCTATAAATTTAAGGCCTTATTTCTTTTGATTTGTAGATAGAAATTTTTAGCAACAAAAAAGAATAAATCTAACTGTTCAATACCTGTTCCAAAACCCTAAGGATAACCTAAAGATAAATTTTTTGCCCACGTTTTTATTTTTCGAAATTTCGTTTATTTTCGATAAAGTTTTTTGATTTTATTTTGGGCACAATAAATTAAATATAAACCAAAAAATATATTTATTGCTAAATGTTTTATTTTTTTTATCGCTACTTATTGGCTTAATTTAAACGTCCTAGAAAATATAGAATATATCAATATTTATTCGTAAATGAGATTTACCAAATTTTTTTTTGCCGAAAAAGATTATGAAAGTAGTTCACGAGTCGGCAATAGCTATCAGAACTAAGGCTATGAAATGTTTGGCCAATATTATCGAAGCAGATCCCGGTATATTAGCCCAGGTAATCTTCTTTTTTAAAAAAATTTTTCTCTTTTTTTATAGAAATTATTTTGAGCGAAATATTATTTAATGTAAACCATGAATTAACTTAGCTCAAATTTAAATCATTTTTAAAATTTTTGGATAGATGAAAAATTACTACGTTTTTTAAAATTTTCATTCTCGTATTTAACATTTTTTTCCGAAATTAAAATTAATTCTAACAATAGACAAACGTGCAATCAACTATTCATCTTCGGCTCATGGACCAATCCCCTAGCGTACGTGAAGCGGCCGTCGAACTAATCGGCAAATGCATTCTGGCCAGGTCCGAACTCATTCCTCGTTACTTTAACATGATCGCAGAACGGATTTTGGTATAACTAACACTCAATTTTTATACAACTTTCCTTTGTAGAAAGAAATTACAAGGATTGCTATTCGGAAAGAGGGCTTAAGAAGCCATCTACTAAACAAATCTTCTGTCATATGTATAACGTCAGTCAAAGTGTTTAGTTTGTTTAAGGCTACAAAGATTTTTTTTTAAAACTATTATTTTTTCCGTTAGCAGTAATATATGATATTATCCAACGAAAAGGGAGGGTAAAATGGACATTTTCTAAATTATATCATCGTATTGGGTGTTTTTTTAAAAAAAATCAGAGTTCTATTAGTTGTTACGCGGTTTGATAATGGTTTTAACAATTTTAATTTTAACATTCTTGGCGAAGGGTCTTTACAACAATAATAACGAATTGGAGGTTTTACTTATTGTCCTATTGGTTTTTTATTTATGCTATGATAGATTGCCTAATAAATATAAATTTTTATGAATACAACTTATTCCTATAAAAAAACAAACCCTAAAAATATAAAAAAAGGATACTGGAGTTAGCGTCAGGAAACGCGTCATCCGTATACTGAGGGACATTTGCAACGATTTCCCCGAATACCAAAACATAACCTCCATTTGCTGCAAGCTAGTCCGCAGAATACACGACGAAGAAGGAATCAAAGTAATATTTCCTATAACATGCATCATAAAGCATATAATAGTATCTCTAGCTAGACTTATGATTCATTTAATTACCTGGATTGGTTTCATCATATATGTATCAATGCAAATCAGCTGGTGACACCATTTTAGTTTCCCAACTTAAAATAAATTGCAAAGTTTTTTTTATTTATTTATAAAAATTATTATATGGGGGAAACCAAGGCGTCACCAGCTGATTCGGCGACACCTCAGAATGCATATATGTGAATCATCAGTATTATATGCAAGTATCATATGTCCTTGATATACATACATACTTTCACTGTGAAGTTGGGCTAATAGTAGGTAAACAAAGCAGGGCGAGGGATTAAGTGTTCATGCTGTAGAAGAGTTGTTATAAGAACATTTAAAATATATTTATTTATTTATTATTATATAGGCCGTATTGGGATGGGATATTGAATCCATTAGGATTTGGAACCTCTCGATTTTAGAATATTTACCGAGGGCGATTTTAAAAATCTGATTTAGCTAGAAATGTATTCTAGTATATATTTAAATAGTGTACAGTTCTGCAAAGGGCGGTTAGCCCGAATTTCAAAAATTTGGTGGGTGGCTGGCATAAAAAATATTTTTAAAATGTAAGGGAGGGGCAATGCATGGGTTAATTATTAATATATCTCTGGAGTTTAATTAAATAAACGTTAAAAATAAATATAATTTTTAAATATTGGATGGACGGGTTAAAACTAAATTTTTAGATATATCAGCTAGTGGGTCAATTATAAAAACCATGGTTAGGCAGATGGGGCAAAAAGGTTAATGAGCGCAATTCTTCATGAATGTTGAGTACCTGCACTATAAATTTCTAAGAATTTTCGACATAAACATTCGTATTATTTTTAATAAAAATTCGTATAAAAAAATCAATATGAATTGAGACTAGTTATAAAGTTCCCGGTAAAAGGCAAAAGATTTATCAAAGTGCAAAGAATCTGACAATTGTTGAAATTCGCAGTGTGGAGATTTACTACATGCTGAAATATATTTCCGGTCAAATTAAATTCAAAAATTGCCCTCAGTGAATGATTTAGAATCTGGATTCCATATCCCAATGCGACATATACATTACAGACAGGGTTGTTAAAAAACCCGGGTCGATTTTTAAAGACGACTCGATTAAGATTTTAACCCAAATAATATTATATTAACCTTCTTTGCTCCTATATGGCAGAAAGTTTGTATTTCTGGCTACAATCTTAATTTGGTCGTTTCTAAATATCAATTCTAATCGAGCTTTTTAACAACCTTAATTACAAATCCCAGGATGGATTTACTAGACGCCATCCTAGCTCATTATTTTAAAATTAGCCCGGACGGCCTCTTAAACCTCGCTACCTTCTTCTCTTCTCAATAACTGTTCACTTAAAAAAAATTATTGATAGTATAACACTAACATGAAAGAGAGAGAAATGTAAATTAAATTTTATGTAACGTAAAAAAAACAAATTTCAATAAGAAATTGGTGATCGAGGTGTTTCAAGCCATGTGGTTTAACCCGGAATTTACGAACGAGACGGTGGAGAAAAAGATATCCAACATTACAGAGACGGTGAATCATTTTATGGAGCAAGGACCCGAGCTTATAGAAACTTTGCTAGATAGCGTACATATTTTTTTTTCTCCACCCTCAATTATTTACACAAATTTTATTTTTCTAAGTAAATTAGTCACAAATTATTTGTTAAACGTTAAATATTCATGAATTTAAAAAATAATCATATCTTACAAAAAAAAATTATTTTAAAAAGAATTGATAATATTTTTTGAATATTCAAAAAAAAAAGATTTAGATTTTCATTTTCTAGCCCTTTAAGGATATAATATAAAAGTGATGTAAAGAAAGAAATTTTCAAAAGTATCCTTTTGTTCCTAAATATACATTGCTAGATAGCATACATATTTTTCTAATTAAATGAGTGATAACTTAGTTGTTAAACATTGTATATTCAGGAATTTAAACAATACATTGTCATACAAAAATAAACTTATTCTAAAAAAATTGGTAATTGTTTTTGAATTTTCAAAAAAAAGCGCTTCGATTTTTCATTTTTCAGTTCTAGTTAAGGATATTATACAAAAAGGATATTTGATTTTTTTAAATATATCGATTTTTTTGTCAAAAAAAGAATTTATTTTTTGTCCCTAAATATTGGTGTTATTAAACGGCCTGATTCGGGTCGATTTTTAAAAATATCCGGATCAAAATGTTTGCCAGGATAATATTATGTAAGCCTCGAGATTTGGCAAGCGAGCAAAACTCCAGGCTTACATAATATTATTTGTGCTAAAATCCAATTGGGCCGTTTTTAAAACTATACCTAAGGTAAGTTTTGTATTTTTTTAAAATGATAATACATAATACTTTTCAGTTGCTTTCAAATACGGAAGACCCAAATTATCAAAACGTTTACAAAGCAGGAACAAAAATAGTTCACGCCTTGATCGATAAAATCATGAAGATCGACGAAAATAGAACTGGTTTTATTATTTATTTATTTTTTTACTCATTTCTTTTTCTCTGTACGAGCGTTTCTTATTACAAATATCTAAATCCAGTCATGCATTGTGATGATGGGGAAAGACATTATTTAAATTATCGTTGAAGATGTAGTTGGTTAATTGCTTTATTTTTAACTGTTTTAGCCCGACTAAAAAAAATGAATTAAACTTAGATTTCGCTAAAAACGATAACCTCAGCTTAATTTTTTTCCTGCTGTTGAAAATAGAGCTCACGAGCAATTAAAAAAAATTGGTTTGTATTTAATTCGGGCATAATACTTTTAACAAAAATTTGGGCCTGGCTGGTTCGGGCTTAAATTTTGACATATGAGCCAATTTTTTTTACAAAAAGTTTTCAGCCGGGCCTGGCCTGAAAAATTAGACCCGATTTATATCAGTAGCTTACTTTTCGCCATTTTTCAACGATTGTTTAGAGATATATCGGTCGATATACAGCTCTAGATTTAAATTCGATATTACTTTTAATATCATTTTTTTCCATTATACTTTTATCATCTACCTATTTTTAATAATTATATGTTCATATATATGAAGTAAGTAAGAAAGTTAGAAAGAAAAAATATAGAGGAAAAGAAGGAAAAAATATATTTTATAAATGTTTTTAAAAATTGATAATCCCTCGAAAAGAAACATCGCAACTTAGAAGTCAAAAATTGGTCTCATGCCTCAGTACGCTGTATTTGTTTACTAAGATAGATCCTGAGTTCACTGTTAAACATTGCGATACGCTCCAACCGTACCTCGCCCAAAAATGCAATGTAAAAATAATTGCATATTATATAATTTTTTGTTATAATAAAATTTTTTATAAAATATTTTATCTAAACTATTTTTGTTATTAAATTTCTGTAAGAGAAAAAAAGATGAATAGATTTGTGGAAATAAAGTAAAAAAGTTTAAAAAAAGGAAGTTTTTGTTAGAAAATAATTTCTCGATCAGATAATGACGAGGATATTTAGTCACTAAATATTATTGAGCAACCAAATTAGTCAACTAGCGCTATTTTTCATTTTTGATAGAATATTTTATTTTTACAATTTAAAATATTAAATTATATTTATTTGTAAAAAACTAAGCGTCATATATCTATTATTTTTATAATCTAATAGATTCCATAAAAAAAAATGAAAAGATTTGATATTTTTTTGGGTATAAAAATTTTATAATTTTTTACAGAATCTGTTATATTACCAATACGGGGCATTTTTCTACATTTAAGTGGTTGACTAAATTGTTCCTACTTTTATTCAACTAAATTCGTATATTTAGTTGACTAAATTGGTCACTAGGAGTCAGAGTCTTCGAATAAAAACTCGACTTGAATCGTGTTTTAGTTGACTAAATGTTGGTGTTTAACATCAATAATTCGGGTTCAAAGTAATTTTCAAAACGAATAACGAATAATTAGTTTTAGGCCTAGTCTAACGATTAGCTGAATTTTAATTTAAACTCAACCCGGTTCTAATCCTACTTTGGTCGGACCGGGTTTAGAAGGCTAAATTCAATATAAGTTTATTAATAAATATGTTTACTATAACCTTAAAAAAATACATCATGAATTAAAGCAGTCATTTATAATTTGTTTCATCGTTGCTTTTTTAAAAATATTGATCCGTTACGTTCCACACCAAAAATCAAATTTTTGTTTATTTTTTAATAAATTATTTTATTTCAGATCCAAGACGACCACATGATCATACATTATGTCGCTAAAATATTCAGGCTAACTGTACCCAAGATGGGACATCCCAACCCTATATTCCTATCCCACTTAGAGGAGAGTCTCATGAGACTTATAGTCACGCAAGGCATGCTAGTAATTTACCTATTATTTAATGTTTTACTTGTTTTTGAAGGATACTCTCGGAAGGGAATGGATACTAAATAATTTTCGCATTAAGATGGTTAGTTTTTTAGTTTGGAGAGGGGATTTTAATAAATAATTGTATTAAAATTGTGTATTACATGGGCGATTCATTTGGATCTATAAATAAAAAAATTAGCTTATGTATTGGGGATGTTAATAACAATTGCGCTTAATAAACTTTATTTAAGTAAAAATTTAAATAATAATGGGGGGGGGGGTCACATCAATGAGATTGATCTTTATAGTATATGTTGAATGTAAAGAATATTATAAGTTGTTGAAGGTTCTATATATAGCTAGGGCTTTTAAACTTTAAATTAACAATACAATAACAATTGAGGGATTTGATGATATGGTAATATTTTTGTGTAGTCCTAGGGGTAAATTCAGGGTATAGGAATTAATTTTTTTAAAGATTTGTTTTTACCCGAATCGCAATTCCACACCTAAACCCTATTTCACACAATTTTAATCGAGATCGATTTTTCATAGATATATATATATGTATTGGAATCTATAATGTATACTAATAGATTAGCGATTTATTCATTAAATGCATTTAAAAGTGTCCACACATATGATCCAGCTGCAGTGCCATTTATGTTTTGCACGTCGATTAAGTGACATTGTGCAGCATTCATATAATGATAAATAGAGCATGCAAACCACAAAATGGCGCTACAGCTGACTCTTATATGTGGTCACATTTAATTCACGAATCGCCAATCTTGTATACATCATTGATTGGGATATAGAATCCATGTGGATTCGGAATCTCAATTTTAAATCATTTACTGAGTGCGATTTTTAAAAAAATTCTTATTTGAACCGAAAATTTTATTCCTAAAACGTATAAAAATACCCACACTGGGATTCAGACAAACTTTGTCGTAAACTTTTGGTATTTTTATATAGTGTTTTACGTATAAATTGTTAAGTACACAAATTTGATTGGCAGAAATTTTCTTGCTGGAATCAAATAAAATTTTCCAAATTTAAAAATCGCCCCTCAATAAATGATATAAAATGAGATTCTGTAATCCTCATGGATTCTTACCACTTATACGAAAAAGCCACGAACAAAAAATTATGAAATTTATAGGGGGGGTTTTAGAGATACTATAAATGTTGGCATTCGGAGTCAAAAACTTTTAAAAAATGAGCGCTATATATGATCTTATAAATCCTAAATTCCAATCATGCGACATATCGATGGCTGGATATTATAATTTTCTTATATCATTTTATTTTGCAAAATCTATTTATTTTTTTTGGATATTTATCCATTTGCACCCACCGTATTTTTTCATATTACCAATAAGAATGCTAAAATAACACTTTATTTGCATTAACTATAATCTCCTATCTATAATACATAAAAAAAAATTTTAATGCTCATAAAAAATGGATATAGATAGAACAATATAATCTTTAGCCAACGATATACTATATAAAAAATACATTATTGTTTTTTTTCTTTAGGTTTTAGAAGGCTGTGTAGCTTGCTTAGCCGATATAGTTAAACAAGTCACCTTCAATTACGGATTGGTGACGGATTGCTTCCTCAGATTTTTCGGTTATTCTAATTATTTTTTTAAATAAAAATGAAAAAGCAATATAGCTTTCTTTCTTCCTTATCGCAAATTGCTAATTTTTTTTAAATTACATTCTCCAACCATTTTAACAATTTCAAACAGTATCAAATTTTTGTTAAAATTAGAAAATATTTACGTAAATTTTTTTTCTCGTAAATATATAAAATTAGATTTAAAAAAAATAAAAATTATTGTTAACCGAAATCAACTTAAATGATTATTTTTTTATTAGGAATATTATACAAGATGGCCCTGGAAACGTACGAAAACGAAAATTGTCCCGTGTTAAATTCCAAAAAATCGTTATTACTCCGATCTCTTTACACTGTTGGTCTCCTTTGTATGCACTTTGATTTCGATCAAGAAGATATGAAATTGAATAAAGTTTAATATTTTTTTAAAAAAATGAATATTTTTTATCGACTCCCGATTCGATTATCTTATATCAGGGTTTGAAAAAAAAATCCTCAAATTTTTTTGAATAAAATCTTTGAAGATAAAATTTTTTGATTTCATTTTGAAAGATTTTTTTTGCAAGTTTTTAGAGATAAATTTTTTTTTAAATTTCAAATAATCAGATAATTTAAAAAAAAGTAATTAAACTTATGTAAAGTTTTTTTAATAAAATTTAAATTTGATGAAAATCTCTGTTTCTTAAAAAAAAAATCTCAAACTGTTTTATATTTTCTTCATGTTTACCTAATGACATAAATACTAGACAAATACTGACATTTCTTTAATTTAAATTTGTATCAAATGAACTATTTATCAAATTTTGCGTTTACCCTCTTATTGGTTGTGGAAGCTTATTTGAAGACGAAATTTTTTGAGAAAGAATGCCAATCAATTTCAACACAAAATTACTTCCAATACTTTATTTCTAAATATGAATCCAAATGAATGGTTATATAAATTTTACAAGGATTTAAACCAAATAAAAAAGGAATTATTATCATTATAATTCGCTCCCTTTTATCAGCCCTAATTGTTATAAAAAATAACTATTTAAAAATACATTTCTTAAAAATTAAAAACCATAAAATCACATGCTGAAAAATAACATTTATAACTAAAAATAAAACTATATAAATTAATAATAATTCAAAAATCAAAATACAGGATGATTTCACAAAAATCGATATAAATCTAAAAAGAAAAATATAAATCATGACTAATCCTGCTTTTCCCAATTCTTGAGACCCCAGTATTTCTTAATATTCCTGTTCTTTCACTCTCAATAGTGATAACGACTGTGAATCTGTTCTTCATACATAGGGCGCCTTCCTCTCCTTGCCTCTGCGCTTTAGTGCACTGTCCTTGCATTGGCTAGTTTAAATCTTATGCAGATATTTGGACCTGACACACTTGGTCAGAACCACCATCATCAGTAGGGATATGTTGCCGATAGCTAGTGAGTTGAGAACGTTGACACAGGAGGATTCAGTAGTGGTAGATCTGGAGACGAAATTGAATCAAGTAGAAAGGCGAGGGAGATCGCTTTGTGCATGGATATGGATTACAGAACATACGACGATGGTGCCACAGGGAGCATTATGGAAGGCCGCCAAATATAGGACAACGCACACGAGCACGGAGAGGTAGAGTCGCCCGATATGCGATGAACAGGTTCAGCCGTTGCCACCATTTAAAGTGGAAGAATTACTTAAGTCATGTAAAAGGGGGAGGTGTCACAGTTATGAAGGATTTGGTTTCTAATGTAATCAGGATTAATCTCGATTTATATTTTTCTATTTAGATTTATAAATTATATTTTTGTGGAATCTTCTTTTGTTTTGATTATGAATTTTATATTTAGATTTATATTTTCGATTTTTGTGAAATCATTCTGTATTTTGATTTTGAGTTATTTTTAACTTATATAGTTTTATTTTTAGTGATGAATATCATTTTTCAGCATGGGTTTTTAATTTTAAAGAAATGTTTTTTTAAATTGTTATTTTTTTACAATTAGGAGCTCCCCTACAAAAGGGGAACCAATTGTAATGATAAATTTTTTTTGGTAATCCTTGTAAAATTTATAATTATATTTTTGGATTCATATTTGGAAATAGAGTATTGGAATTAATTAAAATTTATTAAGTATTTGATGTTATGAAATAAAGGGTGAATATTGCCCTTAATGCATCAGTTTATGTATGGACATTATTTACTTAGATTTAATATAAATCGGGGATATTGTATTGAAATTTATTGTATTAAGATAGTAAATTTAATCTTATGATGGAAAGAGGGGGGGGGGCTATTTTTGTAGATTATTTTTGGTGTGTGTAGTTATATTTTTCGATTAATTTAACTAGTGAATCAAAACGAAAAATTTTTTATGTAACTTTTATTTGTCACAAGCGATTATATAATATAAATCATGTGTTTTTAGTGAAATTTGATTAATTTAACTAGTAGCCCAAATCCAGACTCACTAGATAGAGAAAGAAAAAATATATTTGTAAAGCACTGCTTATTTGAAAAATGACATTAAAAAGCAATATAAAAATAATATTTACCTAATTTTTTTTTTGTTTTTAAAAAAAATGACAAATCGACAGAAAATTTTTCAAGAAAAATTGCTATTTTGGGAAAATCAATATTATTCCAATTTCAAAAAAGTTCACATGGATAAATCTAACAATGTTAAAAGTACCGACAACTCAGGACACGAGTTCAACTCTTGCAATCGCAAAAAAATTCCATTTTTAAACACCTGCAATCTGGTAAAAAAAAATCGTTCTCAAAATTTATTATTATTATTATATTAATCTAATTTTTGTCAGCCAAAATAATTATTGCTTTATAGGCAGCAAAAATTATTTATAAAATTGGATTATATTTTTTAAAGATTGACGGGGATTCGCCTGAGAATTATATTATACTATATCCACTTTTTGTCAAAAATTACATAAATCAATTTTTTATAGAAATACTATTTTTATACAAAAAATTCGAAATATATTTAAAATAAGCTAAATTATAGCCAATATAAAGTCTGAAATCCTATTGAAAATAAAGGCAATTTAATTTTTGAATTTGCTCTTCTATAAAATTACAAAAAGAAGAAATGGAATAATCTAATTCTCAGGCGACGATGTGAAAAATAGTACTGCTTACAAGTTATCCCTTTTTTAACCTTATTTTAGAGAATAGTGAATAATTTTTTTTATAATAAGTGCTTATTTACATAATTCTAATAAGTTTATATTCGAAAAGATCAGAACCTATTTTTAAAAATTCAAAACGAACTGGTATTGTTTTTTGATAATCGAACATGAACCAAGTCGATATTTATTACGTGTTGTATCCCTGAGTTTCTAATTACGTTTTAGGAGAGAAATTCTTTTTTGCTATTTTATTTATATTTATTTTTTTAAATTTGAAGTTTTGAGTAGACTTGTATGGTTACTTTATATTAGCTTTTTTTTGGTAGTTAAATTAATTTCTTACTAATGCTAAAACATCGTATTTATAAGACTAGCAAGCTTATCCCCTAAAAATACAAAATATCCTATTTTTTATCAGACAAATTATATTCATCCTAATTTTTTTAAAAATGTTTTATTTTCAATGTTTAGATACCCGTGTCCGAATGCGTTTTCGAAATATTTTTCCATTTCGTTACCCAAAAAGACGAAATTATCAAACAAAAAGCTTTGAGTGGATTAGGTACACGTGTTACGTTTGTTACACATATAACGATTAACACAAACTATTAAAACCCATTTTTTACGGATTTGACTGGGGTCAACTGGATAGACCTGCTCACTTTTTCGGTTTAAGTTCCCTATATCTCGCCTCTTTGTCAACATCATCACCCCATGTTTTTTATCTATAATTGGTTTGCTGTACCCACCCACCCAGTTTAATCTGCCCATACTCATATCTAATGTTGTTAAACGGCTCTATTTGAACCGATATTTAAAAACGGCTAACTCAATATTTTATCCAGAGAAATATGGCGTAAGCCAACAAATTTCGCTTATAGATGTCAATACCTTTATGCCATCTATGAGCAAAATCGGAAAGCATGCGTAATATTTTTCTGAATAAAATATTGAGTTAGCCGTTTTTAAAAATTAGCTAAAATCGAGCCGTTTTATAAAACTACTCATATCTCATCTAGTTGTCAACAACATCACTTTATATTTTTTTTATCTTCTCAAGGAGAGGGAGGGGAAAAGTCAAATATTTTTAGATTCAAGGTTTATAAACTTGTTTTTTTTTAAATTAGGAATTCGCATTTTGGATATAATTGTTGCCCAGTTATTTTTTAGTTTACTTCTATCCATATCATAGAATATATGATTGATACTACTTTTAACTTTCTATTCAATATTATAAATAATTAATTTTCCTTTTTTTTTAAAATGGATATATATGCCATTCCGCGAAAATTAGGCTTCTTCTGCATCAATTATTCACGCTATTTATCCCATTCCAAAACGAAAGAATTGTATCAACTCTTTTTAACCGATCCTGCCATATCCGTCACCTTAAAATGCCAAGTTTAATCTCCGCTGCAATTTTATTTTTATTTCATTCTTCTATAAACAAATTCCACTGCTGCTTTTAAATTTTTTTAAAAATTATATTCAAATCAAAACTAAGTTTAAAAATTATTTGAAATATTAATAAATTAATCACATTCGATTATTTTAAAGAAATTAAATAATTTATCATTCTTAGTTATGCCAATCAAATAAGAATATTAAACAATACTAAACGTATATGCACGGATAGTAAATTATTCTATTTATTTAAAAGAGTCGAATACAAATATTTTATAATTCGATTCTTATCCGTTTTTTAAATAGGCTTGATAAGAAACGCCACCGAGATTCCGATTTTTAACCGATACCGGGTCGGATTAAATTTTCTTTTTATCTACCCAACCGGGGACTCGGAATAAATGCATCTTCTATGCTCCTGTTGCGTTCTCGTTCCGACTAAAAGAATTATGTTCCGGAACTTTCACGGAATTACTGTTTCCGTTCTAAAAGCGTCCCTAATTTCCCCTAAGTTCTGTTTTATGTCACTTGATTATAAATTTAAAAAAAGGAAGCTTATATTTCTTTTAACCTCGAACTGTTATTAGTGATCTGCATCAGGCCTAATTTTTCAAGCCCGGCCCGAAATTTTTTTTAAAAAGTTTTGCCAGCCCGGCCCGAATTTATTTAAATATAGAAATAAACTCAAAATAAAAGACAAATGTTATATGTCGTTTAGTTTCAATAAATAAAATCAAATATTTTTATTTTACATAAAAAATTCAATATATTAGATATTAAAAAAATTCCAAGGTCTGACCCGACCCGGCCCAAATTTTTTTTAAAATATTAGGCCTAGCCCGAACCCGATTATTTAAAATAAAATTAGGACCGGCCCGGTCCGAACGGGCTTCGGGCCGGTTCGGTCCTAACTTTGCAGATCTCTACTATATATCGTCACATGAGAATTTGATTATTCCATCTACACTTTTTATAATTTTACAGGAGAGCTTTTGGTTATTATTTAACATACTTTATAAACATTTCTGATTTTACATGTAATAGTATATTTTTAAAAAAATTGATTTATGTAAAAACAAGGTCATTTTTGAAAATAAGTGCTCATGGAATAATCTAATTCTCAGGCGACGATATTTAAAAAATAAATAAAATCTGATGACATTTTATCTTCTTTTGAATTTAATATCGGTTTTTTTTAAATTCATTATTTATCTAACATATTCGTTTGAATTATAAATTTGTAAAAAAATGTAGGAATAAGTTTTTTTTTCACATGGGGATTTGGAAGGAATCTTAATTTTAAATAATTTGCAGACGCTTTTTAAATTTGAATCTACCTAAAGTATATTTCAGCATTGTGTGGAATGCCTAACACTGAATTTCAAATAAATTTCTTCAGACGATTTTTTAAATTAGGAAATGTTTTACAACACTGTATAGAATACTCAACACTGAGTTTCAAATAATTTTCCGAGTACGATTTTTAAATTTAAACCCGGAAATGTATCGTATTTCAAATAATTTTATCTCCCAAATCTCCATGGATTCTATATGGCAATTCAAAATATAAATATTTTTTAAAATGAGAGAAATATAATTTTAAAAAGTTTATTTTTATATTACATAAAATTTATAGGAAAGACAAATACCATTAAAAGGCATTATAATCTTTATTTACGATGATTAATTTGTTTCGAATGATTTTTAAAAAAATGATTGGCGTCATTTTAAAAGATCCGAAATATAAAAAACATTTCAATTTAACTAATCAAAAAAAATATTCCCAAAACGCAGCCTATAAAGCTATAAGTTAATATGTATATATTTTATTTTTTTAAGTGATGCACCAATATTATAAATATAATTTTTAACAGGTATTGAAAAATATATATTCCTATTTACAAGAGGAAGAAAATAAGACGACTATGGCCAACAAAGAATGTAAACAAACTTCTTAATAATTTTTATAAATAATGATTATTAAATCGATTATTTTTTTAGGGGAAAAGACCAAGAAAGAAGATGATTTTAAGGAAATTAACGAGATCTCATCCAGGTATTTACCTATTATATTTTTTCTAAGATAAACATGATTTGTTTAATATTGGTACAGCCTTAGCAGCGCTATAGTTCAGATATACCTGAAGGACATCTTGGACCGGTCCCTGGATCTGGAGACGAACGTGAGATGCGGCTCCAACAATGTGCTCGCCACCATAATCAAACAAGGTCTGGTGTACCCAGTGCAATGTGTGCCATATCTTATCGCCATGGCCACCGATCCTAACACGCTCATCAAGAATAAAGCTCGCAAACTGATGGGCGATATAGACATTAAATACCCGGGATTCGTTTCGGTACATTTATCTTCTTTATCGTTAATGGGTGGTGTAAAGTAGTAGTAAGGATAAGTAGGAAAAGCGTTACTTTTTAAGGAAAGTATTATTATTCATTAAATAACGATAATAAATTAGATTTATGACTACTGTTGTTAAACGGCTCGATTTAATCGATTTTTAATAACGATGAACTCAAGATTTTAGCCAAGCTGCCCATAGATGGCCTAAAAGTTTGAAAATCTATTGGTCAAGTCTTGATAGGTAATATGGATAAATGAAGTCGTTTAACAACACTACTTAGGTCTTATGCCAGGGTAAGATTATCAATGAAAAAGCTTTTAAGATGATGAGATATCTTATCTTAATATTCTATCTCTTATTTCAGAAAAAAGTCATCACAAAGTTTATGCCTTTGTATGTTATGCCATTTTATAGTTTAAAAAGCGATTAATTTTTTCTTGCCCCACAAATAATTTTTGCTTTCAGATGAAAGCCTTAGCAGGCTCTCGAAAGTCCTTTGAGCTCCAAAAGATATGTCAGTTAACTTACATCAATCCTCCGCCAACATCTATCAACAGCACAATTAGTACAGAGCCATCGAGCTCTCCAAATAAAAAATCCCAAAACAAAAACGCTAACGATAGCAGCAAAGATACTGATAACCTGACTAGTAATATAGTGAGAGGCTTGGTGACTGCCAACGTTTCGCAAACGAGCGCTAACAATAGCGCCAATTTGCCAAGTACCGTCACGAACGCGAATACTCAACCCCTTTCAACCCTAGGATTTCTGTACACCCTCCTGAGAAATTCCAAAGCTCAAAGGCGTTTTTTCATCGATTCCCTCCTTAAACTTTTTGACGAGCAATCGGTATTGTAATGTTAATGTTAAAAATATATCTTTCATTTTACTATTTGAATTAAGGTAACTTTTTTTTATTTATTCTTGAAAAACAAACTGAAAAATAAATATCTTTAAATTTATCTGGGGTCACTTGACTTAATTTTAAGCACATTTTTTTTTCTCAGTAATATTTTATATTTGCTTGCTTTCTAAGACGAGATATAAAAATTTTTAAAAAAAACAAAACGTCTTAATTTATATTAGAAAATTCCCCTGGAAGAATTGCTTTACATAGCCGACAATTTGGCATATTTCCCTTACGTTAATCAGGAGGAGCCGCTGTTTGTGTTACATCAAATGGAAATTATGACTTCCGTGACGGGATCTAACATTCTGCAAGCCTTCTCGGAGGTTTTGATCTTATTTATTTCAAAATAAGGACACCTTTTGATAAGTTAACTTTTGGAATGGCCAATATCTGACCACATTTGCATATTGTATAAATTAGATTATTTCATTACTTCATGTCGTTTTAATACCAATCAGCCACGTTTGGTACGATAACCATAGAATAAAATACTAATGTAAAGGGTAAAGGTATCTGTGGTGTGATTGGTTTTGTTCGAGGAAATGAGGGGTTTGTCAATCATATCAAGCAATTATTGATAGAATTGATAAATACCACTTCTTACAATTAGAATGAGGTTTTCTATATTTATATTAAGAGGGCAGTATGTATCTCCAAATGAAATTTCTTGAAGCAACCCAAGGTAAGGATTCTAATTGTTATTACTATTCAATATTTGCATGGTAGGATTTTAAATTAACATGACTAATTAATTATAAGCTACAGATTTTTGTAAATTACTTCTTATTATACAATTAAAAGTGTTTTGGTCGCGATACTCAGAGCAAAAACCATTATCTCAACGAGGATTATGAAGATGATGATGACATTGACAAGTTGTTAGGTTTAAATATTCGTATATGAATTAAATATCACTTCATGAAGTTACAAATTGAAGACATTTACATATTTTTTTGGTTTCTCTAGTTATATAAATGGTTTTTCGTATGTTTATTTGTATATGCTAGATAAAGCCAATATAGAGAGAGGATTAATGATTATCTCATAGTAGTGATCTGCATCGGGCTTAATTTTTCAAGCCCAGTATAGCCCGAATTTTTTCTAAAAAAATTTTACCCGGCCCAGCCCGAACCAGAAATATTTTTGAAAAAATTTAACCACCCAGCCCTTATTTATTTAAATATAAAAATTAATTTTTTATAATTACTCAAAATAAACGATATATGTTATATGGGGTCTAGTTTCTATAAATAAAATCTTATATTTTTATTTTACATAAAAAATTCAACATAAAATTTATAAATTTAGATATATTTAAAAAAATTTGTAAGGCCCGACCTGGCCCGAATTTTCTTAAAAAATATTAGGCCTGACCCAGCTAGAACCCGATTGGGCCTACTTTTGCAGATCCATATCTCATAGGCCTTTGCAATGAAATATTTTATAAATAAAAAATATGCTTCATATCTTCCTTTTTTTGTGTGTATTATTTTAAATAAATGGGTTACGTAAATTTATAAAAAATAATGTTTTATGATTTAACATATTTTTAAGCTAAGGTTCCGGATAAGCCTTTAGCTCTATATGAGTGCTGCGTCGCATCTCAGGGATATTTCTTGCTCCTCTATTTGAGGCAATTTTTGAAAAATCTCTACGGCCTTACTGACAAGTATATTTATACTTTTTTAAATATAATATCGTATATACTAGTAATATTTTTTAATTTTTTTTGCATCATGGATGAAATTTGTTTTATTAGATACAATATATTGCTACCAAAGTCAATTGTCTTTAAAATTACATTGATCTTAGTTTAATGTTTATTATAAAATATTAATTTAGTCTGTAAGGCTTTATATAAAAATATAATATCAAATCACTTTTATTTTATATATATCCAGTAAATTAGCCAACTACTCTCCTATGGATACTAGTAAAGTATTCGATAAACCCATAGGCGGAAATCGCAAATATTTACCCACCTTTAAGCCACAGTCAACAGTCGATTACTTGAGCCGCGCTTCCCATCAATTATATGCCACAATGCCCGACCATACCTATACAACTCAGGATAAACTCAATCTCATTAGACAGTATTTGGAGGTATGTGTATCATTCATTTTTTCTTAATGTTTGTTTAAAGGATTACATGGAAATATCTAAATATATTAGCTGCATATTTATTATATATTATATTTATCGAATTACTTATGAATCAAAGTTCAAAGAAATGATGTTAAAATTGGACCCTAATGAGGAAGATGACGATGATGTCAAAGCCATTAAAGCTTGCAGAGAAGCCAAGGCTCAACAGAGAACCCATTTGCCAAAATCTCATCACAAAAGTAATATCCTTTTTTCTAAAATTTGTTTGATTTGTACCCATATTATCGAAATTGGAAACACTAATAAATTAAGCGATTAGTTTTGAATCGACAAGGTTTGTCCATTTAGAGGCATTTTATCTTATATCAGCATAAATAAGCGATTAAAATTATGAATGTGTTAAATGTATATCATTAATACCTTTGGAATAAAGCTAGTTTTCGAGTTGAATCAGTATCGGAAAACTAGCCCAATTATATTTCCCTATTTTTATTATCTTTTCGATACATTGGTGCAGTGTCTAGCTACATTTTAAAAGTATTTTTTTAACAACTCTTGCTTTATTATTATACCTATTTTTTGATGTGTGATATAAAATATTCCGAAATCTTAATAAGTTTAAGGTCATAATAGGTTTGTTAAACATTTACCAATTATTTCATTTTTTAAACCTAAAGGTACAAAAGATAAAAACAATGAAGCCGGGGAAATTTCCTATACAGTTCAACAAATTTCAAATCCGGTAATTTTTTTTTATTGATTATCGTGATTTAATATTAAGTATTTAAAAAAAAATAAAAATTTATATTTTTAAATTACTAATTTTAAGAATCTTAATAAGAGCTGCATATCATTTTAAATATTAGTAATTAAAATTTATTTCCTCTTTCCTCCACCTATTTTTTTTTATAGAATGAAACTCACGCCATACCAAAAGTGCACATCAAATTGAACAAACCCCAGCAACAACCCCATCTGCCTTCTCATCACCATGCTGTAGTAGCTTCTACTTCGAAACCCAATATTCCAAATGATTATAACAAACCTATCGTCAATACAAACAATCTTAAGACGAAAGTTAGCCCAACTAAAAATAACGACTCCCTGACTGGCCAATATCAAAACCAGCTCATGTCTTCTTATCAACAATACCTCAAAAATTCGAATCAAATTCAGAAAAGAACGTCGTCGACTGTGGCTAATCACCCAGCGATATTTCCGGGGCAGGTGGCCGCCCCAGTAAATGTGGATAACTTGAATAATCATTACAGTAATCCTCCTCATTCTAACAACGGCACTTATTTAGTGGCAAACAACATATTTGATGTTCAATACCCGCAGCCTCAACCCCCCAAGCAATCCAGACCTACCAACGTTCATCACGCTAACAATTATCCCAATATCAACCAAATATCTCACAATGTCAATAACGTAGCATCTTCCTCGAATCCTCCTCGCCATAACATCGCAAACAACAATACAACACACTCTTCTCATCAAATGCCTTTTCATCCGTACGATATAAATAACCTCATATCCCCAAACGTGACTTCGGCCAACTTATCCAATAAACAAATTCACCATCATCACTATGACGCTGGCAACAATTACAATCCTAGCGTTATTAATTACAACAATAACGCTCCTTACATCAACCCAAACAACTTAAAATACAACCAACGACAGATGGAACCAGACATTTCTATAGTCAATAGTTTTCCTCCCAATGCCTCCTTCCACTCCCACAATCAAATTCAACATATCTCAAGAAATCTAAACGTATCCATTACCAAATTTAACGATATCGGTGCCATTAATAATAATAATTTAAACAATAATATCGTAGCTACTTCCAACACGAGTGGTTATTCTTATAATCTCTACGAAAATTTTTACGGAACTGGGGGAGGAGGCAACAATTGAAGAAAAATATGTGTATTATTTCTAACAAGGTATGATTCCAAATTTATATAATTTATCAGAGGACTTGATATTATTGAAAGCTGGTTTCTATCAGTGATGACCATGCACTGTACACTGTTGATTAAATTTAACTTGTATCTTTATCATTATGGTTCTTATAATTGATATTTCCCCTTTTTTTTTAAAATACGAAAATTGTTTTATAATAAATTATGCAGAATTTTAATATAACCTGAAATATACTATTTATATAATTTAAATTTGTGTAAAAAAATTGATATAAAATTACCCTTGTAAATGATGAATTTTTTTCCCCCAAATATATTTATATTAAATACATATTTTTAATAATTTTCTAAAAAGTGATTTTTAATTAGGACCTGGTTTTTAAAAAAAACAAAAAATAGATTCTTAATACATTTTTATCCTTTTTTTTATTATCCGATTTTTAAATTGTAATCATTTGTAATTGTATTGTAAAAAAAATATATATTTTATATTTATTTATTAGATAGAAGGCAAAAATAATATTTAAATTCATGAATGAATGCCCACTTTTTCTTTCCTTTCCTTAATTTAATATTTATTTGTCAAAAAACAACACATACATTTTCCTTTATTTTTTTTATATTTTAATTTTTTTATATTTAAAAAAAAATCTCAAAATTTCGAATAAACAAAATAAAATACTTTTCAAACCATCATACCTTATAATTACAGCGAACATGTTTTTAAACATTTTTTTTTATATTTAAAGAAAGTCTAAATAAATTAATTTATTCCTACCTTTTAGTAATATAATATAATTTAATCATATAAATGTCATTAATGTTAAAGTCATTGTGATTGGTTGTAGGTACTATTGAAAGAATTTCGTAATGTCTTTTAATAGCGGACATCAGTATATTTACACTTTTAATGAATCGTGGTTAGCATTAATATCATTAATTTATACAATCCTGTCTTATCCTTTTAAATTAGATCGGTCAAACAAGTACAGCATCTTTATGAGAGGAAAAAAATATATAGGTAACTTAATATTTACTCTCAAAATATTTTTTATTTCTTACCTCCTTTAAAATATATGAAGATAAAATCCCCCCTCCCCTCTAGGAACCTCTAGACTATGGATTTATAAATATTTGTGGCATTTTAGTATTGAAAATAGCGTACACCTTCAATTTAACAGATACCCAAAAATTATAATGTAAATGTTCATTTTTTTTTAGTTTATATTAAGCTATGGATTTATTGGAAAATATTCATCTACATTTAAACTGACAAAAAAAGAAAGTGCTCATGTTGGCTTATGTTAGACGGTGCCAAAGGTATTGTTTAACAAATATGTATTTTTTTTTGTTTGAATTGCCACTACCACATATGGTTATATATAATAAAATAAATAAATTCGATGCTTTTCGGGTAGACAGCATCCAATGTTATTGGCTTGTGCCATGAATTTGTGCTAACTTTCAATAAGAGGTGAGAGTCACAAATGTGTACACTTTTTAAATGAATAAATTGTCAGTCTAGGTTAGTATTAATGTGATTGGCAAATACATAGGAGTTCACTGTAGAAGTCATAAGGTCTTGCAAATTCTTGTGATTTGAAGGATAAGGTTTTTCTTTTGTTATTTCTTAAGATTCTTTTTATTATCTACGACAACAAGTGATTTAATAATTTAATCTAAGTTTTCTCAGTCTTAACTCAAAGATAATTTCGCCAAGGTATATATGTTGTATTCGTACAAATCAACTGAAGATTCAACCCGACCCTCTTCGATATTTTTTAAAATTTGTATGATGGTGGTATATACACTAACTAGTAAAATTATAAAATTTTAATTCTCAACTCAGCTTACTTCATGAGATATGGCCATCTTTAGAAACGCGGAAATTTCAAAATACACTATATTTAATTTTAAATATCTCAAAAAATAATTAACCTAAAGAGATAATTTAAATTTTGTTAAATAGCTCTAGAATAGCCCTTTAATATGATATAAAATTTATTATATTAAAAATAGATCTATTACTACACCGGAAATGGCTATTAAATAAAAATTGCCCTTTTTATTCTTTCAATTTTTTTTACAGATAGACATTATATTTCTCAATGTGTACAAAATCCTAGATCGGGATGAGTACTGGGCTAATAGTTATTACATTTTAAATATAAGTAGTATGGCTTTATTCCTATATTATACCAAATATAGATTATTTTTTTAAAAAAAGTGGGCAATATATGTAATAGCATTATTATTTTTAGTTCCATCACATCCTTTATAGTACCATAGTGATTTGTATTTTGCGTACTGTTTCCCTTTGTATGTATAAAGCCATGTTGGCAACATGTACTAATTATCAGTTTTTTATTATTGAATTCGGTGTTTTTTAAATGTTATATTTATAGCCGTGTGTTTTTACTTTTTCCAAAGATTGGTGGGGTTGAATATACCATTTATGATTCAGAGGCAATTATTCATAAGGGATTGAATCCGTCTATTTTCTGTTTTGTTTATTTCCCATATGTCCACTCCATAGAGTAATATGGAAATTATTGTCGAGTTGAAGATATGCAGCCTGGTAAATACGGAAATCTCTTGTTTTCCATATTTTCATACACGTATAAAAAGCACCTCTTCTTTTTTGTATTCTCATTTCTTCTTTGCAGCTACCTTTATTATCCTGTGTGATCCCTAAGTACTTTATTTTATCTACTATTTTTACTGCGTCAGCGCCAACCCTAAAATTTTGGAGCGGTGGCACGTTTGGGGAAGGGAGAATAACTGTTTTGTTGAAGTTTATCGTTAATCCAACCCTCCTATGACTCAAGATCTCTAATAGTAGAGTAAATTTTTGGTTTCTTCTATATTTTTGTATATCACAACTATGTCATCTGCATATGATATTATTCTGTTTTCAAAACATATCGTCTCCTTTGACCCTTTATCTACTAAAGCCTCACCCAGTGCTTTTTTTATGATTTTATTTATTATGATATTGAACAAGAGTAGCGATAGAGTACAGCCTTGTTTTAAACCTTTTTTTATCCAGAAGGAAGGGGATATTTTGTTATTTGAAGCATGCAAACTGTATGGAATGGTGATTTTTTATGATGTGAATGATGTTTGGTTCTATCCCACACTCTGACAGAGTTTCCCATAGAGCTTTATGGTTAACATTATCAAAAGCTTTACCCACGAATGTAAAGTAGGAGTATATTTTGTATTTGCAACATTTCTGTAAAATTATTTTCAGGGTTAATATAGGCTCTAATGTGTTTTTGCGCATATGTAATTTGAAAAAAAATGAGATTTAGATGATATGATTTTATTTTTTAAGAAGACCATAAAAATCTTTGAGACACAGGATGTGAGGAGGTCTACGGCTCGGTAATTAGTAAATCTTTGCGGGTCATTGATTTTAGTGAAATTACATAGGAAGAATTTGTTCCATTCTACTGTAGTATTTCCACTCTTCCATATTTTATTGAAGAGGGCTAATAGGAAGGAAAATATAGGTGCAATTTTTACCAGGAGCTTTGTTTTTCCGTATTTTTTTTTTACTACATTAGATATTTCATATGGAGAAACCAGACGGGGGTGGGGCGAGGTTTATATCTATGTTTGTGAGTCGAAGACCATCATATAATAATCAAGCCATAATACCTTTTGTTCGCCCTGGTCAATGATTACCTTACCGTTCCTTAAAACTATAGAGAGAACTTTTCTAAATCTGCAAGGTTTACAGATATTTTAATTTTGTATAGGTGTCATAAATCCTATTTTCTTTCATATCTTTATCAATATCAAAGGCATTTTTTGCTTTATAAATCCGTCTATCGCTTCGCAGTAATCTCTATGTTTTTCCATAAGTCTTTATTTGAACCATTCATCACTCTTAGTTGATTTATTTTTCAACGTCTCACATCCATTCTTTCATTGAAAAAAGACGCAAACAATCATATGATTCTGCAAGATCACTTTTAAATAGTTTCCAGCATTTACATTTTCATGCATAGTTACTTTTAGGAAGTTAGCTCGTTTCCTTTTTAATGCTTGGTCAAAAAGTATTACATCTTCCGACGTTTGTAATTTACTCAGTTTACGTGAAAGATTTGTTTATATTTTTTAAGTTAACCTATCTACACGATAGGGAGTGGATCGTATTTATCATTATGTCGATGAAGCCTAATCTTTCGTTTCTACTTGGCGCGGCATAAAAATTTATTATTATTGTGGGCCTAAAATTTGTGTTTAAATAGAGAAGACCACATCTTTCAGATATGGGTACGAATTTGATGACAAATTTATGTATATGTTTATTTATTAGAAATGCTATCACAGACCAGCTGTTGGAAGTAGTATACGTGCAAAATATTTTTTAATCATTAAAGCTTGCAGTGTTATTCCCTGGAGAATGGGTTTCATGAATACCAATAATGTCTACATTCTCCACTTCTAACTTCCTTAAGAGAACCGCTAGTTTGTTTTTCATTCCATTGATATTTAGGGATGCAATTTGTAACTTGCCTGTCAATTAGTTCAAGAGAAAACCCGAAAAGTCAAACAAAAAAAACTAAAACAAACAAAAAAAGTATAAAAATAAAGTTTAGAGGAAAAAACATTTTAAGTGGATGTAGTGATTTTCCTATTTAAACGTAAGAAAACAAAAACCAAGGGTATTGTGCGATGATTTATTTGTATATTATTTTGTTATGGGAAGATTGAGATGTAATTAAATTATATTTATTTTATATGATTCTATAATTTCGAAACAATTTTAAGGGTTTGGATAAAGTTGGCAAAATTCTAAGTAATTTTGAGAAATTTTATTTTGACGGATTTAACAAATTAAATTAGAACGCCGTCTCATTCGTTATTCAAATTAAGGTTTTGATCCTACCGTATGCGATATCTTGTTAAGTTCTTCTGGTAATGTGTTTAGCAAACAAATTATCTGACCACCGTGGTATTTTAAGTCATATATGAAAATAGTGGGAAGAAACTTTACCAGATAGAAAGTAACGACCTTAGTACCTTACGTCTGGTAAGATACAGGAACTATTTCCGGGTAGAATTTTATTGAGGTATGAGATATACTAGCGTAGAAAAATATAAGATGGCTAGAGATGATAATTAACCCTTCAATACTCCGGTGAAAAAAATGACGTTAGTAGTCGGGTGTGGTTTAATAGATCCCAATTTCAAATGTATATATCTCCAGAAATATTCATTATTTTCATTTGATATTTGGATATAAGATCGATCTAACCTTAAGCTTGATAAAATATTTTTATTTCTTAAGCCTAGATTAAAGATGATGAGGATAATTATAATTTGTGCCAAAAAATTAAAAAAATAACTTATCCATCATATAATCATGATAATTCATAATATGGATCTTTATTGTATAAAAAAAATTACACAAATGAATGCAAATATAAAAAAAAATATAGAACATACAAATTTACTCTAGTGGGGTCTCACAAACCCCAATCAGTCACAAAATGCTTATATCTTAAAAACTACTCAACCGAAATATATGAAATTTGGAATATAAATTCTAAGATATATTTGATAAAGCTACTGAAGAATCCAGATCATAATATTTAACCGTTTTTATGTAATATCATTTCTAGCATGCCTGAGGTTTCATATAGCCCAGCAGAGTATTGAAGGGTTAAAAGAGATTG